CGGCATTCGCTGCATCGTTACATTTTCGTACCCATGAGGGGAATGAGTTCTCGAGCCAGACAGGATTCATGTAACGTTGCAAAATCATCTGAATGAAACGAGAAACGATTATAGAAATTCTTCTATGTCATATCAGGAGATGAGAACCGAATCTCAAAGAGCTAAGAGACTTTACACTCTGAAGCTTAAGAAGCATTCGTCCGAGGTCATGATAACCAGCACCTTGGGAAGCTTCCATGGCCAATTCTTTCCATATCGTTACATCACGAGCTGCCTCGACCACAACCTGCAAGATCCAAATGCAATCCAACATTTCAGATTTCTCGTTTTAAGATTCTATAAATGCACCCAGCATATACCTCTGAGTAGAACTGGTCAACTATATTGAGTATCCCGACTGCAAGCTTTCGCATGATGTAACGACGGGCAGCCGTTAAATCTTTAACCATTTTAAGCCCGACTCTGTGCGATTTATACGCGATAGGCTCGGGAAATTCCTCGATGGATCGAACCAGCTGCATATCGGCCCACGAATAGTTCTTTGTGTGCGGGAAAAATATCACGAAATACTTCTTCCTGTCGTGAGTCGGTTTCCCCCTCAAAGTTGCCAATGGCCAATCCGCTCTCGAACATCTTATCCCGGCCTGCCATATGCCCCTCCACTATACATATACACACGCAAATGCAAACGCAGATCACATGAACATTACGAAAATCCAGAAACTTGATCGAATCCCCGGAGAGAAAGAGTTGATGAAACAATGTTACCTTGACCCACAGAGCTATAGGATCATCTTGCTGCAGCCACTTAGGCTCGGAGGCCGAAGGAGAAGACTCTTCCTCGCCATTGTTTCCGAGAAGAAGCTCGGTTTCTGTTGTATCATCGAGTAGGTTAGCATTCGAACAAGGCGAGTTCAACGATGACCCTCCATTGTTGCCTGTTCCTACCCTGTCATCGAGCTGTTGTACCGGAAAATCATCCATGGTGGTGACTATGAATTCGTCCATTCCAACAGCAGAATTCTCAACTTGCTCCGTCGGTTGAGAACTGGAGCAAGGTAACACTTCCATTTGCTCGGATTCAGATATTTGATACTCGAATCTCTTACACCATGGATTCAACCATACAATATGTTCTGCTCAATATACATTTACCCATCAAAACAAAAAAAAGTTCAGCGAAAACGCAAACATGAAATCAGTTTATTATAAGTTTTGTTGCAATAATTAATTGCAGGAGGGCACACAACAAAGCTTCTGGTACATGCAAACATCATGAAGCGTTCATCTAACAACAACAACACAACGCCACATTCATTAACCCAACTCTCGGATCGAATCATTGGAACTAAACCCTATTATGGATGAATGAACAATTTGGCTAAAACCCCAAATGCGAAACAGAAAATCACTCACGCGAATGATTGGTGTAAACCCTACATTATCGAAAATTGACGAGGCCATTGAAAAACCCACCGGGTAGAAACTTGGATAAAAAGGTGGGTCCATCTCCACGGATCAAAGAAAACAGATAGACAACCTTCGAAGATCACAACACGACCAATCAAACCCAGGTGCTAGAAATTAATGCCCAAAAACAACTTTCGCATAAGAAAAGATCGTATCTTTGGGACATGGATTTGCCAATTTTGGTTATCTAAGGTCAGTGACACAATAACTTGTGAGGACATGACAATACAGACATGGCGGAATCAAGGCTAGGTCACGAACCAACAAGAAGATTAAAAAAAATTATACAAATTCTAAGAGGAAGGGGAAAAAAAAAAGGAAACACTACATGTATGTGACACACCATGGCATTAGATAACAGAGTCGGAAGGAATGTTACCCTATCAAAAAGGAAAATCAGATAATCTAGGGTTTTGGGGATTTTGGGCACGAAAGGTCGCACCTTTATGATCCGTGGTGGCGAATGAGACGAATCTACGATATCTTTCGTGCAATTTTCTTCTGGGTTATGAAAATTTTATGTGCTGGTGGGCATCAATGTTTGGGCATGTACCATGACCAGACAGAATGTCGAAAGGGAAAGAAAATCTTCTCGCTCGAGATATTGATAATAATAATAATAAATTATAAATTATAAATTATAAATGGGTGGTTTATAGATGGGATTATCGAAGGAAACTAAACACCTTATGTGTAAGAAGGAGACTAAAAAAGGAGGGTTTGGTCTCGTTTTCGCTGTAAAATACCCTAGAAATATTTTAGCATTCAATGATTATTCAGAAATATTAATATCACATCTAACGCCTAAATTCACAAAAAGAAAGTGTCAAATTAATGCTCTACCTATCGTACGATTATTATATAAATAAATATCATCAATATATTCTCGATTTTAGTTTTAAAACTCAACAAATAACTTTTTTTTTTTTAATTTGTTGGGATGGGAATTGCGATTTTTCGGTTGGTTGCGAGATCGGCGAAATTTATTTGGTTCCCCATATTAGACATTGAGATTCGGATCGCGGTCGATTTTTGTTCACAGACCCCATCGAATCTTGTTTCGGACGGGCGTTACTTGACGGACGCTACGGTTTTGTAACGCCGTCAGTTTATCCCGTGATGCGGAGTCTTCCTTTGTTTTTGGGCCTTTTGTTTGAAGCCCATTTATCTTTTTGGTGTTCTTCACTTTTTAGTATTCACATGGGCCCTACTTGGACCTTCATAGTCTGTCCGTACCAGCATATAAATGGGCCTGGGCCCAATATGATATCTAAATCAAGAGATGTTTAGAACCCGAATCTCGTCACTAAACTTTAATTAAATGCTGCTGTATTTAACGAGGTAATGGGATTTTCGTTAAAAGTAAATATATAAACATATATATGTATTATATCATAATATAATTGACAGTAAAAAGAAAAGACAATTCTGAATATGCAATGGATCAAGAGATGTTTATAACTCTTGTTTCCTGATATAAAAAAATTAAATTAAATAATAATGGAAATAAACATAGAATGACGTATTCCAATGTAATCAAGAGCTTTTGCATGCATATTAAATTGTTTTTTTTTTCATAAAATATAAAAATATTTGTATTATCCAACTACGCGTGGAGGGGATACCTTTTTGCTGGTTATGATTGGCATTGACTCTCTTGTCCAAACGCCTTTGTAAAGTTTGGGCTTTTTTTTTTCTTGTTCTATTTTTTGTGAAATTCCCCCTCCTTTTTTACCTTTTTATCCCGAAATGCCCCCAACTTTTGTTCTCTTCCGGTTTGTAACCCCCACCTTGTAATTTAATAGCCATGTAAATCTTTAAATTATGCTAAAAACTTTTCAGAGTAAAATACTCCTCCCTTTTTGCCTAACCTCATGTGTTGGACTTTTAAATTCTACTAATAAAGATGCATCAACTCTCTCTCTCCCTCTCTCTCTCTAATAAACTTCTCTAAATCTTATTTACTCCACTCAATAAATACAAATGTTTTAAAAAAAAATGTGATTAGAATCCACACCTATAATAAAAATGCAACTCAACATAACATTACTTACAAATATATATAAACTTTGTGTATGAAATATACTCTGTCAGTTTCTTAATAAATATCATTTTAGATTTGTTTCGATGTTTAAAAATATATATAATAAAAGTCATATATACCTTAATTAATAATCTATGAAGTTGAGCATTTTTTTAAATAATTAAGGATAATATTATAAATTTTCTTAAAAAAATCGCTTAAAAAAACTAAAAGGAAGATACAAAAAAAAAAATATATTGGAGGGAGTAAAAGACTGCAGTTAATACAACTCATTAGCTTCTTAATTAGATCCATTAAAGCATGTTTGTGTGACAAAAACTTGTGATCCATCCTCTTCACTTATTCCCTCCACATGCACCGAATCTATATTCTAAACCCTAAACTAGTCATGACTTCTTTGCTTGGGACTTTATAATGAAGATAAAATAGAAGTTTCATACACCTATTGATTTATCGAAAACCATTGAATAATTAGTTTTTATTATAAAAAAAAAATGATAGAGGCTAGGCCGTAGTGGGATTTTATATTAAATGTCCCGACAAAGAATAGAATCACCATGCAAGCAAAGAAGTTTTACGTGATTATGATTCCAATGACGCGATTACCGAGCTTAATTACATGGATTGTCACGACACATTTAAATCTTGTAGCTAAATTTGAATTGGTCAATCTCACGTTCCATTCAAATTCACTAACGTCAAATTCACTAACATATATATATATATTTGTGTGTGTGTGTGTGTGTGCCGGTGAATCCCAGTCGTGGTTCATAATAAAAAATTACCTCACAACCTGTTATTTGAAAAAATTAATTAAAATCCATTTTACAAACTCGGCGTAAACTAAATAATTTGTATAAATCTTATATTTTCAACGGGATAAATTTGTCAGACTGAAGTGAAGATATATAAAATTATATTATACTTAATTTTACCGGTGATGGAGCGCTAAGCATCCATGTTGACTAGAGCTCGAGTATTCCGCAGTTGTATGTAGAGAAAAATAAGAATTAGATCGTAAAATCTAAGAAATTTGATTTTTTTCCTAAAAAAATCATGTTTTGTACCGAAAACCCAAAATTTGATTTTTTTAATCTTTTTGGAAAGTAACTTTTTTTTACACGAGTTCAGCAAGACCATGGAAGTTAGTCATTAATTAGCTCTGAATACGAAAATCATTATTACAGTTTGATTGTGCGATTAACACTAACCCCAGAGGATGACGGAAAAGAATAGCGTATGACAACAATCATCGTATAATATAATTGAGTTGGATATTTGATGGATATTTGATTAATAATTGTTTTTTTCTTGGATTCTTTGACAAACGTTAGTCTTCTTGACACTGAAGGACAAATCGGGTATCTGGGTTTTTTTTTATATAAATTTATATAAAAAAAAAACAGAGAGCGAAGAAAGATAAAAGAAAGTGAAAAAAAAGAGAAAGTAAATATGGGAAATTTGCAAGTTTCCTTTGAAAGCATCCAATGCCACTTTTACATCCCCTTTGGTAAAAGGTTATTATTATTATTATTATTTTGTTGCTAGTTGTACGTAATGTTTCAAAAGAGAAGAAAAATAACAAGAAATAAATATACTACTATAAATGGGTTATATGTCTTTAGCCATGGAAAAAGTATCTAAATGTCTACAAAATGTGTTAAAAACTTAATTATTGACAAACTCTTCGTCATATATAGGATATTAAGCATGCTAGAATAAGGGCACTAACTATAAAGTAGCATGAAATTCTTATTATAACGTATATCAATTTCCGGATTAGGTATAAACTATTTATCCATATGGATCGACCATTGATTTTTTTTTTTGTCCAATGATTAGACCATGAAGTCAATGGTGGTTGACGGCAAAACATTCATTGAACACGAAATATATATAGCGAGTAACTTTAGTCAAACTCAAAGATTCGTCATGTCTCTTTATCTTATAATTATCGTGACGGTGGTACAAATTACCACTCGAAGGACCGTTAATTTAGTGATTAATTTGTTAAATTAGTGGCTAAGTGGTTTACTAATTCTCACCATCCACTGCATATAACTGTTCGTTAGTTGGCCTAAAGCACTGCCCAAGCGGCAATCTTAAGTTGTATAGAGACGATTTGTCAAATTTGATACTACAACGCTATAGTATTCATATGACAGCCTTATTTAAATAATTCGTTAATGATTTATATTAGTAATAATGCTTTTCTAATTAAGAGTTCTTAAGTATGGGAGTTTGAGAAGATAGAGAACAAAAAATAAGATAATAAAACCATCAAATTTGTAAAATAATTTAAGACTTTTGAGGTTTAGCGATTGAAAGAATAATTAATGAAACGGGTTTATTAGATTATTTCATTAGAAAATCATATACGTGGATATATTATATGAATGTGTACAAATATATGGGAATGTACGTAAAAAGGAAAAAGTACAAAAAAAAATTAACGTAGCATCCTAAGTCCTATGAACGTAGAAAGAACAGTATGGGACAAAGGGCAACACGACGGTTCACCAACTCCCACTAGTATCCCAACAAGTTATAAGAATATGCACATTTGGGTTTGCTCCATTACATTCTTTTTTAAAAATGATTATAGTTAATTTCATTATATAAACTATATAATATACTTTTTTTTTACCATAAAGTTAGTAACCTAAGATTGTCTTTCCCTCTGGACTGTCCTTTACAACACGGGGGCTCTTTGAAAAAGGTCCAAGTTTTGACCTTCTTTGTTTAATCGTACAAGTGCTCGTTTTTACTTCTCGGTAAAAACTCAGAGTCTCTTCTATTATAAAAACTCTTAACTTTCCTTGTATCAATGAGAGGTTGACGTACACAAGCACATGGTTACGACTAATTTTTAAGAATATCAAATATAATATGATATGGAAAGTGTTGAAATTTGCTTAAAACAAAAGGGTTTGAAGGATTGTGGTCATGTGAATATTATTATATTCCCTTTGACCAGCTGATGAGCTCTTTTTTTTTTTTTAGAGCTTTTACCATTCTAAAAAAGTAAAAATAATAAAAAAATATTACCAATTTATAATATTTGGGAAATAAATATGAAGCGGTAGTTGATGTGCTTGCCACTGTAGTAAAAAAAAAGCCCACGAGTTGGTTTTTGTGCTTTTAAGGCGAAAAAGAAGTCTACCCATTTTACAAAATAAGAGTAATGATGAGGTGAGATACTGAGATTCTCTCTCAAAGGGGTGGTGTATTTTTTTTTTCTTTAAAGAAAAGACACCGAAAACCAAAAGCTTCTTCCTTTTTTTTTTTCTCCTTATTTTCTTTATTTGGTGTCACGACGTCAAATCTTTAGTTTGGCTCTCTGCTATATTTCTGGCTGTATATGCGATGTTTCCCTTTTTCTTGAGCAGAGAAGATCGCTTTCAGAAGCCCTGATTTGCTCCTATGGTGTGAAAGAAGACAATTGAAGGTTTTGGAGTGTAGTTCTTGTGATTCATAAATCCGTGGAATGGCTGTTCTGTTCGTGTTTTGAACAATCTGGTGTCTGCTTCTTCCTCTTCTGTCTGTAAACAAAGCTCATTCTGACATTCTCGTTCTCTCTCGTATTGATACGGGTGAGCCGAGTTCTTCTTCCCCCTTTTTTAGGGTTTTCGAAAGTTCCAATCTTTGTCTACGGTCTACCAAAAAGATTAACCAAAATTTATGAAAAATGGGTGTTACAGGAAATTCTGGGAGATGGGATTCGGAGAAAACGAGGTCAAGGAAATGCAGGGACAGAGACACAAGCGTTCGAAGAGGTTGGCCTTTTTTTTTAATCGCCTTTCTGTTCCTCTGCTTGCTTTTGCTACAGATTTTTTTCTGGGTGCGAGTGCTTCTGTGATGGGTTGTTCTCAAATTTGTTAATTTGGGCTTTTGAGATTGCTCAGATGCAAAGTATTTATGCAGGCGTTTTGATGTTAGATGGATCAATTAAGTATTTTTCTTTGGGAGTTTCATCTCTGAGTTATCGGGTCCTGTCAAAGTTGGGTTTTTTTTTTTAATAAAAGATGAATTCAGTCGATTTTTTTTTTTGGTGAATCAAGGAAATGAACTGACCCCTTCCAGCTACGATTTCGCTAAGGCCATTGAAATGGGTTTAGGTTTTGGGAGAAAAGACTGTAGCTTTAGTCTCCGAATTTGATCCACTTCACTGTGCGATCAAAGAGTTTTGTTGGGTCTATGCAATGTAATCTCTGTTATGTGAAGCAAACATTAACTCTGCTTAAATTGATCGGGATCATCATATTGCTATTGGGGCTCAAATGTTTTGATCCGTTCTGCAACTGTAGTTTTCCTGAGAAGCAAAGGCTTGGAGGAGATAACATCGGTAGCTCTCCAGATGCTTCTCAACGCCTCAAGCTTGTAAGTTTTACTTCCCTTTTGGCGCCTCTGTTTGATCAACTCAATCACGATTCATGAAATTGATAAATCTGCATGCAGCATACATTTGATGAATTTGTTATCCATGGAGAGAACAATAGACCAGAAAGCGTGTCCCTTTATGCTGTTCAATCTGCATATATATATACATACATATATGTAGGCTTTGTTAAAGCCTCTGTTTGATTCTGTCTCAAGGCAATGCGTCTGATACTGGGTTCACTCTTTCTCAGGACCTCCAAAACTCTAATGAATCTTCAAAAACCAAGAAGAAACTATCGCCAAAGGTGAAGGGCCATAGTCCTTTGAAGCAAGAGGTTGGAAAATAGAACTTTGTCGTTGCTGTTCTGCTTCCCGAGATGGTTTCTGATTGCATTGTTCTTTTTTTTGGCTTTGATAATGCAGATTCTAGAGCTTGAGAACAGATTACAGAACCAGTTTGATGTCCGTCGTGCTTTGGAGAAGGCATTGGGTTATAGAACATCTTCTCAAGACGGCAATGCAAATGCCATCTCCTCTCCAAAGGTACACTTCATATGTAGATCAAGCTTTTCTATGTAACAATGGAGTTCTTATATTTGTTTAGGGTAACTAAACATCTTTTATATTATGCAGCCTGCTCCAGAATTAATCAAGGAGATTGCTGTTTTGGAATTAGAAGTTTCCCATTTGGAACAGTATCTCCTTTCCCTATACCGCAAAGCGTTTGATCAACAAATATCATCTGTATCTCCAACATCAAAGCAACAGAGCTCGTGTTCACCAAAATCTACCCTCGGAGGAAAACGACTAGATTTCTCAAGAACTGATGTAACCCCGAAACACGAAACTTCAACACTCGAGTCTCGGTGCTTCTCTTTTGACAACAGGCTCAAGGGTCCTTTTTCTGTCGAGAAGGAACTAGGTTCAAATGTCCGTCGATGCCAATCCTCGCTTAATCAGCGCTCCACCTTCATTAACAGAATCTCTCCACCAGAAGAATGTCTTCTTGATTGCCACTCCCAACCATTGTCCATAAAGGAGGTATCTTTTGACAACAGGCTCAAGGGTCCTTCTTCTGTCGAGAAGGAACTAGATTCAAATGTCCGTCGATGCCAATCCTCGCTTAATCAGCGCTCCACCTTCATTAACAGAATCTCTCCACCAGAAGAATGTCTTCTTGATTGCCACTCCCAACCATTGTCCATAAAGGAGGTATCTTTTGACAACAGGCTCAAGGGTCCTTCTTCTGTCGAGAAGGAACTAGATTCAAATGTCCGTCGATGCCAATCCTCGCTTAATCAGCGCTCCACCTTCATTAACAGAATCTCCCCACCAGAAGAATGTCTTCTTGATTGCCACTCCCAACCATTGTCCATAAAGGAGGTATCTTTTGACAACAGGCTCAAGGGTCCTTCTTCTGTCGAGAAGGAACTAGATTCAAATGTCCGTCGATGCCAATCCTCGCTTAATCAGCGCTCCACCTTCATTAACAGAATCTCCCCACCAGAAGAATGTCTTCTTGATTGCCACTCCCAACCATTGTCCATAAAGGAGGTATCTTTTGACAACAGGCTCAAGGGTCCTTCTTCTGTCGAGAAGGAACTAGATTCAAATGTCCGTCGATGCCAATCCTCGCTTAATCAGCGCTCCACCTTCATTAACAGAATCTCTCTGCCAGAAGAATGTTTTCTTGATTGCCACTCCCAACCATTGTCCATAAAGGAGGTATCTTTTAATCTAAGGATCGTGTTCGTTATTACCGTATTCTGTCTGCATATTAGTACAGAAGTAAAACAGTGTCTAAACCATATTATTTCCTGCAGTACATGCAAAATGAATCAAGTATGATCAGTCTTGCTGATCACCTGGGAACCCAGATATCTGATCACGTGCCCGTAACGCCGAACAAATTATCAGAGGATATGATCAAGTGTGTGTCAACTATATATTGCAAGCTTGCAGACCCACCCATGATAAATCCCGGCCTTTCATCTCCAAGTTCATCCCCGTCATCAAGCGAGTTTTCTCCTCATGAGCAGTATGATATGTGGAGTCCAAGCTTTAGAAAACACCCGTCCTTTGATGTGCGTTCAGATAATCAATTTGAATTCAGCGGTCCTTACAGTTCAATGGTTGAAGTATTGCACATTTACCGCAACCGCAAGAAAGGACGTGACCTTGAACTGATGCTTCGGAATTTTAGGTAAGGCATAAGCACAGATGACATTTTATTTGAATTCTCTTTGTCTAGTTGTCAGTATGGTTATGGAGTTGATATGCCATACAGCGTGCTTATTAGCAAACTGGAAGATATTGATCCGAGAAAGTTGACACATCAGGAGAAACTTGCCTTTTGGATTAATGTACACAACGCTCTTGTCATGCACGTAAGTCTTCTCTTCGATCTTTTTTCTTCTCTCCTTTGGCCTTAAATTGTTTTTAAATCAAACTATCTTTCTACTGTAGACATTTCTGGCTTACGGGATTCCACAAAACAATGGGAAGAGGTTTTTGCTACTCTCTAAGGTATTGATCCTTTCTTGCTTGCACCAAGAATAGAAATGACACAAAAAAGAAAAACAAAGTAATTTTAACTTGTGTTCTGATGCTTCCGGTCTCTGGTCATCTTGTCCAGCCTGCATACAACATAGGAGGACGCATGATGAGTGTTGAAACAATACAAAATTCTATCCTTTGCAGCCGGTTGCCTCGTCCTGGACAGGTACGGCCTTGTAATTGTAAATAACCCCCAAGGTTAAAAAAGCTCATATCGAGGATTCCTTCCATATATCTGCAGATTTTATACTGTGACCATCTTGCTAAAAACCTCATGAACCCTTCTTCTACTAGCAGTGGCTCAGGCTATTGCTCACTCCAAGAAAATTTAGAACCCGTGATGAGCTGCAAGGGTTTTCCCTTGACCACCCTGAGCCTCTCTTGTACTTTGCTCTCTGCTCAGGCAGTCACTCTGATCCTGCAGTAAGCCCTCCCCTCTATACATATGGATGTATACAGATAGATATATTTGCTGACTGATACAGTCACATACCCTTTTCTGCAACTGCATCTTGGATGTTAAATGTGAAATCTTGAACGCGTTTCTTGGTTGCAGGTACGCATTTATACGCCCAAAAGGGTATACCAAGAGCTAGAAACCGCGAAAGAAGAGTACATCCGAGCCACATTTGGGGTAAGAAAAGACCAGAAAATACTCTTACCGAAGATAATTGAGTCGTTCATCAAAGACTCGGGTTTAAGCCAAGTGGCGCTGATGGAGATGATCCAAGAATGTCTTCCCGGAACATGGAGGAAAACCATCAAGAAACTCGTCTCGGGAAAACCCCGAAAGAGCATCCTCGAGTGGACTCCTCACAATTTTGGTTTCCGGTATCTGATAGCCAAAGAACTCATCCGATGATACATCTAGTGATGGTATTCCGTGTGGTTCATATATATATATATATGTATGGATCTGTGTATGCATGTATGTATTCTTAGTATTGGCTTTAATTCTTTGTTGTATCCGAGCGATCGTGTGTAATGCATGAAAAAAAAAAAGCAGATAGGAATATGTAAGGTAGAAAGAGAGTAGAACTGCGTGCTGTTTTTTGGTCTCTAATCCGGAGTGGTGTTTGGCTTGGGAAGTTTGAATTAGAGAGAAACAGTGTTCTGTAGTAATGTACATGTCATTGTCAATTCAGTCGCTAGTGATAGTACCCTTCCAGCGTATTTGATTCATATTTCTACGAAATACTGCGACCATACTCCAGATATAATATATATATGCTAATAATATTTCTAAATTTTACATTAAAAAATATATGTATTTTTTTTAAATTCCCTATAGATGAGATAAAAGGGCTAACGTTTAGTATTCATGATTGGATAAAAGTGTACAATATTTATGTAAGATCTTTTTCCCTAATTACGTAAGTTGGGTTTTTATTTTATGAAAATGTGAATCAAATTATATATAATAATTTACAAAACAACATTCATCCACAATACTACAGAAACCCAAGGCAAGTGAAAAACAAAAGTCTCGATAGAAGCAAGGAATAACATACAAAAGTTGATCGATGAAGTGTTAAGAAACGTTGAAAAGTAGTATTATTCCTAGGGGTGGACATTTCGGGAAACGGTTCGTGTTCGAGACGGGAATAGATCAGTTCGGTTTTTTCGGTTTTACAAAAATAGGTACCAATCGGTTTTTATATTATGTTCGGTTCAGTTCGGTATTGGTTCGGTTTCGGGTTTTATTAAAAAAAATATAGGTTTTTTTTAAAAATATTCGATTTTTCGGGATTTTTTAAAATTCGGTTTGGTTCCGAATTCAGTTCTCTAAAAATAATAGCGTTCGAGAATTCAAAACGGTTTCGGATCAGAAAAAATATCTTTTTTTCGGTTCGGTTTGGTTCGATCCGATTCCGAAGAACCGAACCGAAACGTCACCCTAATTATTCCCATGCAAGAGAGACGTGCAAAGCAAAATAAAAATGAATATAATACGCTGAGATATTAAGGGAATAATTGGACAGATAAATTGACTTTTGAGAAGAAGGAGATCATAGCAAAATCTCAATAGACTATGCATATTATAATATTGGTGCATTTAATTATTTAGAAAAACGAAATAAACATAATTTCATATCTACTATGGATGCATAGGAAAAATGTTTTACTCGACGACCAACAAAGTTGAACCACCCACAGAAGTCATATCTATCTGCATTGCCATTTTTTTTAATAATTGTATATTGACTTCTAGAATGCATTAGAAGGTCATAATATAAATCTCAAACCTATGTATTTAATGTTACTATATGAGAGAGAACGGTCCAATTATTAGGGAGCTAGAAACCTCGAATTTTCTAACAATATTTAAATAGACCGAAGTAGGGTAGGGGATATTTAATTAGCATTACATAAATAAGGGTTCCAAGTGTGTGGCTATTATTTCCTGGTTTTATAATATGCCTCATTATTCAGCAATTTTATTTTATCTATTTGTTATTATACATTTGGGTCGTGTAATTTAATATTTCAACTTATAATTACAAGGAAATAAAATAGTGGGTCTAGATAGACGTAGTAGGACCTGATGGTTTCGCGCTGCACGTACAGTCTTCATAAAAAATGCTGTTGAAACTTGTCACGTCCACTTGCTTATTTCTTCAACATTATTGCTTTTCCAGTACCAGCGGTTCACATACAGTCGTATACATACATACATACATACATATATATATATATATATATACCGACATAGCTGTATGTTCATGTCTTATATATACATATATCATGCATGAGTATATTAAAGCGACTTATGCATGGAAATGCACGGCGGATATTCGTACACGCAGACACGCAAATCGTATAGGGATACGTATTTTGCAATGACCTATGGCCCCACATGACGAATATGGACACTCATCATACCAATAATGAAACATATATATTTTTTTTTAAATTTCTAAAAATGGGTTAGAAATAAAAGCCTTACTGGGAAATCGAAATCTACAGGTCGAAGTTGATGTGATCTGATGATTTTCCCAACAGCTGTAACCAAATAAACCAAAACTGTAACAAAACAAAAATCGGTCAGATAATTAATTAACATAGAAAGACATAAATTCGGTCGATCTTCCAACATTACACAGTCGAGGAGGGGACCGAAAACGGTGACGTGTCCCAGACCGAACTCCTCGGGCCAAGGCTCATCCATTTCTAAGATTTAATGCCACAGTTACTTCAATTTATATGAACTGTTTCAGTACATGATTGCCAGAATATAATTTTAAATTTTTTTAAAAGTTGAAATTAATATTATTTTATAACAGAAAGTCGAACCAAAGGTCAGAACCAATATAATACTCCCTCTATTTTAAAATATTTATAATTTTAGGTTATTTGATATATTTCAAAATATTTATTATTTTACGTTTTTAAAATATTTTTTTACAATAATTTTTAATTTTATCTCTACTAAATTCCAAAAAATTATTAACGATGATAATATTGTTTTTATCATCAATAAATATTAAATAGAAATATATATAATTTAAAAAAAAATATGAAATAACCTAAAACTATAATATTTTTTATTGTTTTAAAGAAACCAAATGTAAAATCTAAAATATCCGTTCATTGATATGACAAAAAAGACCTCAAGTAATTAATTATACTATTCACAATTCAGCCCCAAACATTTCACTAAATTCCTAAAATGCTCATTCACTCGTCGATCGTATTTAACTTCGCCGCAAACTTCCTCCTCTCGCTACTGCTACCACTACGACCACTGCCGCCGCCTCTCACTTTCCTCGTCCCTACGCTGGATCCCACCGTATCATCACCGCCGGAAACTATACGGCGAAGCTTATCCGCCGGGAAAACGACGGGAGTAGCGCATCTCCGGCGGCACCGGCATTTTTCACGGCCGCATCCACCTCGACTCGTGAGGGCGGAGTTTGCTTTGACGGCTAAAGCGGCCATCTCTTCCGCCCGAAGAGGCTGTCGAAGCAAGCTCAGCGGAAGAGCCAACATTCATCCACAATACTACAGAAACCCAAGGCAAGTGAAAAACAAAAGTCTCGATAGAAGCAAGGAATAACATACAAAAGTTGATCGATGAAGTGTTAAGAAACGTTGAAAAGTAGTATTATTCCTAGGGGTGGACATTTCGGGAAACGGTTCGTGTTCGAGACGGGAATAGATCAGTTCGGTTTTTTCGGTTTTACAAAAATAGGTACCAATCGGTTTTTATATTATGTTCGGTTCAGTTCGGTATTGGTTCGGTTTCGGGTTTTATTAAAAAAAATATAGGTTTTTTTTAAAAATATTCGATTTTTCGGGATTTTTTAAAATTCGGTTTGGTTCCGAATTCAGTTCTCTGGACGGCCAATGCGGCCATCTCCTCCGCCTGAAGGGAGCGACGGAGCCAGCTCAGCGGGAGAGCGAAGTAGAGGTGGCCGAGCTGGAGCTCCTCGTCGGCGCTAATGGCGGAAACGACGTCGTCGAAGTCCATGTCGTCGGAGTTGCAGATGAAGCACATTGGGTTCTTCTGGAGGACGTAACCCACCTTCACCGGGTACGTGAACTCCATCATCCTCCCGTCTTGCAATATCAGCTTCGCCGTCGCCAATTGGGTCGAATCGCACGAACTGCAAATCCCCATGTCTTAGATTTATTCGTGTTCACCTAAACTCGCCGCCGTGACTCGCTGAGTCGTGACCCGGTTTCCGGTGAGAGAGGGTACTTTGGTTTGGTGATGAGAGTGCGAAAGGGTTTGTGGAGTGTTTATATAGGAGCGGGAAAATAGGTGCCACGTAGGATATGTCCTTTTGTGGGTGCCAGGCTGTGACAGCTTTGTGGTGCTTCGTAATTACCCCTCCTTTCTCTCTCTCATTTATCAAGACTAAATTGCCACGTCACCCAAATCATCGCGAAGGCTAATCGAAACGGACCGTCTTCTTAGTATATATACTCGTGTTTCCATATATATATATATATATATATCGGCGTGTATATACGTATACCCGTGAAGTGGGGGCTCTGGAACTTTAATTGGAGGATACCTAATATCGTCCACTATGCACTGAAACTAGATGGACCATTTATATTCTCCCATTATTGCTAGCTTGCGCATTTGAAAAGCGCCTCGAGATTCAAATACAAAGATTAAAAAAACTTTGTTTTCATATCATTTATTATTCTATGAGACTGATTGGCCTAAATGCAGATGCAGAAATCAATCTGCAAGCTATATATTACATATGTGTATGAATTATATAATTAAGCCTAATATGGCATAACCACTAATCACTTTCATTATCTTCATCGGATTAGGTTATCTCCGGCCGGTTCCAAGTGCGTGCGTCCATGCATGCATGCATGAATGATTCAATGTTTATTGTAAATGAACAAAAAAATGGGTTAAAATGTCTATTTTTTAATATGGATTTTGGTTATGATTGAGTCGTAGTATATTATTATTTTAAAATCATATCAATAGCCCTTTATAATAATAAAGAAAGGGAATGTCACACGCACCCCGGAGCTTTTATGCGAAGCTTCATGGATCCTCACCACCGTTAGAAAAATCGAACCAATTATGTCACCCCTTTCGACGCACCAAAAGCGGCATTTATAAAAAGCTTAGGGTTTTTTTTTAATTCATCAATATGTTTAATAACCATTTATCGGGCGTTTATCCTAAAGAAAAACAATAATTCGAATTTTTTTTATTACCATGGAAGATGGATATTAAAGTCATAGTGATTAGTGACTAGACAATGTTAACAAACACGAAACTATATAAGTGGTTCTCTAAAATCAAATTACTTAGAGTGGAAAAATACACGTGAACCGACAAAAAATGCTAAACGACTGATAACACCAACTTGATAGATAAAATAAAATGATCAATTACCTTTTTTGACTTTCTTGTCTTCCCCGTTTACCATGTGCATGAGCTCTTTTGGTTCCATCTGCAAAGAAAAAAAAGGTTCCAACTTTTTTACATACTGTTCCTAATTCGCAATCATATCACCATCTTATTATTATCTCGATATATTTTTTGGTACGAAATGGCAATTTTAGGTTATTAAGGTACAATTATATATATAAAAACAAATCGTTATATAGATCGAATAATAGTTTCTGAAACATGAATATGGGTTTGAATAAATTTGGATATTCTTTTTACGAAACAATGACATAAGGCATAGTTTTGAGTGGTTTGAATTTATTTGTTTGTATTTGTTTTGTTTGGTTGTGGGGATATAATATTTCCTTTTTCTTTTTCATCTGGGCGTGATGATGATTTCTTGTTGCGTTATCAGATTCAATGAAAAAAGCTTGCTCTTGTCATTACCATGAAACTTCCCTCACTAGGACCATCATCATCATGCAAGGTTGTCTTGTCTTGGTCCCTCTTTTATTTCCCCTCGAGATTTTTTTTCCTAATTATAGTTCCATATATAATAGATCCGTGAATTTATTATTTGCACAAATAAAAAGAGATCTAAATTATTTCCCTCTCTAATGTTTTCCCCAACGCTACAATATTGTATAAAAGAAAAAAGAGTTGATGATTTACAGCTATATTTTCATGCAAAACATGCTCTTTCATTAGCTTGAATAAGGCAAAAGAGCCTTTGGCTAATGAGAGAGTAGACCAGGAATGAGCCAAAGGTTGCAGAAAGTGGAACACAGGGAAAGAAGACAAGACAAAAACGCCATTGTTGCGGACAACTGATATCTGCTACATAAGGTTTCGCCACAGAAGGATGTCCCCGCCCCCTTCATCAGTCCGACCACACTTGAAGATGCGCAAACGCCTCCTAGCGAAAGAAACGACAGCACCTGAATCAAATTTACGATTATTCGGATGAAATTTCATATTACTTGCCTCACAAGTATAATCTGATACTGATATAAGCTCGTTCATCACAAAGATTGAGCTTTAAGATACAGATATATAAATGTATGTATGTATATATATATATGTACAACCAACAAGGTAATTACTTTGAACGCAAGTAAACGAAGGGTAATAGGGTTGGCACGTACGAAATCTCCGGCCATGATGACGGATATAACCCTAGCTTGCAGAGGAAGGCGTTGAACGATTACTGAATATGCATCAACTAGGGCTAACGTCACGCTCCATGGTGTCACCAAACCCATGATCGTCACCAGATAACTGCAGACGGCCATCATAGTTTTATAAGAAATGAGCGCACATGACAAGGAGCCGAATTCCAGATCATTGGTTTGGATTCGAAGCTGTGAATTCGAGCGTTCATATCAGAATTTGGGATGACTATGTTTACCAGAAGGCAGTGTAAGCGTAGAATTCGTCGTCGAAGCACATGAAGAGAAGTGAGGCGGAGGAAAATAGGGTCTGTCCAAGACGAAGTACGAAGCTGACACCGGTTCCGAACGACGCCGTTCCGACCACCTCCACCTCCATAAAACGACCTTCTTCTTCTTATCTTCTTCTTAGTTGTCATCATTATGCGCTCAGATCTTCCATTTCTGGGTTCCCAAAATCACCTGGATATGTTCGTTGGATGACAGAAGACAAAACTAAGATCAGAGCAAACAAAGGGCCTGTTTGGTAAGAGACTTGAGAGAGAGAGAGAGAGAGAGAGAGAGAGAGAGAGTCTTCCTTTAGTAAGTTATTTTCTTTCCGTCGGTTGCTTCCTGGTTAGGAAAAACCAGATTGACAACGAGGAAGAAGAAAATGAAATGTTTCTTATTGTATTGCGACAGTTTTCCTAACCAGAAGCTGGTTGGTTCCGCAAGCAATTATGCAGATCCAGAAACATGATATTTAAAATTTGGATTAGTCTCCATATTATAATAATTAGCTTGTGATTAAAGCCAAAAGTTGTAACAGCTAAATCAGTGAATCACGATAAGCAATCATTGAATCCTCCCAACTCATGTGAACTGGAACCAATATTCCCTTCTTTTTGGCATTCCCATGTTCATAGAACCACTCCAGATAGAATTGTACAACAGATTCTCATGGATATTCAACTGTTGGATCGAAAAACCGGTAGTGAATCAGATTTGATACAAAGAAGAAGATAAAAAGGAATGTTTTTTGTTTATTGTTCAAGCTGGGCATAACAGATTCCCTGGATCTTGACATCCTTTGGAGTCTTGGCACCTAAATCGGTGTCAGAAGGCTGAACGCTCTCGAACACACTGATCACTTCACCTGTCTCGGGTTTGGTCTTAGTCACGCTGAGAGTGATCTTACCGGTGGAAGAATCGGCCTTCTTGATGTTCTCCTAGGCAAGGTCCTCGTCATCACCTCTTGCCGGCAACGCAACAGCATTGTCGTAACCAGTGGAACCATCACGGCCCTTGGGGTCCAAGAACGATGACCCTCTGTACGGTGGAACCAAGAAATCTCCACTGAAGCTCTCTGGCTTGCCCGAGGCAATCAGCTGTTTGATCGTGAACAGGAAAGGTACACGCTCTCCTCCGGGCAGTTGCACTGTCACTGCAGCACAGTCAATACCGTCCTTCTCCTCAAACTTCACAGTTCCATCTGATGAAACCTATTGTCATCGGAAAAATGTTGATGCCCACGTGGAAAAAGTATCGAATAAGGAGGAAGAAAAGAGTTATAGCACCTCGAAGGGGCCCTCGATTTCATCGAGAGTGTAGGTGAGACGGGTCATGAGCTTGGTGTTTTGGAAGTCAGTCGGGAGGGAGTTCTTGCTAACTCCTTCGGCCTTAACAGTGAACGAAGTGGGATCCAGGCAGAATTTCTTGGCGTAGTATTTGCCTGGCTTGAAAGCAAATGAGCCAGATCCACCTTCAATGGTTGGACACTGGTTTGCGGTTCCTGCCCTTCACTTCAAAGTATGTCTTGCTCTGGATTTCGTCGAACGTAAGCCTCTTTGGCACGCCCTCTGCATTTGCTCCCTACACAAACCACCACCCACATTTCCAAAACTCATCAAACTCCATATCTAAACAAATATCCACTTCTCCGAATTCACACCACTACTTCGATCAAATACATTCTACATCAATCATCTGGTTCTGTCGTGTGCGCCACATGGCGAGTTCTTGTTCGTGGGGAAAGACTGAATGTGCGAGAAAAGGCGCATTTTACTTCCAGAAATGAGAACCGGCAAGCAGTTCACTTCAATGGGTGGAAGAAAAATACAGTAAAGAGCTCCACGCTTACGGGAATAACTGAAACTTAATGTTTTGATAACGTTCTTAACAAAATCGTTCTTGCCAGAAACTAAGAAACACGATTGAACCCAAATATAATTTCATTCAAAAGCAAGCAAACAACATGATACAAAGCCATGTCTGTTTCATGACAAACCGTATTCTGCAATGCCCAGAAACAGAGTAAAGGGATCTATCTGTTGTCTTTCATGCCAATCCCCATTATTCAGAATGTCATAGAACATATCAAATTTTACACTTTATAACGAGATAACAAGCACAAATATAGTATAGAGAATCTTGGAAGAAGGAAACTGACATGGACCAAAGCGGGTAGACAATGAGAAGAACAAAGCCGAGGCTGTATGCAAGTGCATGCCTCTCAGTGAATGAGTTTCGGAATCCACCAGAGGATCTGAAATGTTGTTCCAAAAGGTAGAATCCAACCCCAAGGCCAAAATAGTTAAATGCCCCTCAACGATTCCTCGACAAAGCTTGGAGAAACGACCAGAAGTAGAATCGCGGCTCCCGGTATCTCCATCCACTCTGCAGTTTCAAACTATACACTTCAGAAACAGCGGACTTTGACTACTTCTTTACATATGTTATGAAGGGTCATTACAGTATAAATCTGACAAGAGAGGATATATAGACATTTTTGAAAGCCTCTTCTCATTAAGATTAGCAAGCAGGCACTGTTCTAAAGATAGGAACATCGAAAATCTGGTTTCAGGTTTCAGGTTTCAGATTCCATGTACCATTCATAACTTCCAATTCTGAGTTGTGTTACAGAAGAAGAGTTGAGTTTTTTTAACCTGGGAAACGACAGTGGGCAGAAAATACTGAATACAACTGTGTAGAGAGCGATCCATTTCCCAAACCCTCCCCAATGAAATGAGTGGATATCGATCAGTTTGTCATTACATTTGCAAGAGCAAAACACAGCGAATCGTGTAAGCAAAATGAGGATAAGAGACCGTTATTACCTAAAAAACTCGAAAATAACCGAAGGAAGGATCATGAAGAGGTATTGCACTAAAAGGGAAGTCATCATGTTTGTCCTCCAGCTTGTTCAATCCAATATCAACAGACAACTGCAGGAAAATCGATGCTATACCGATAGTACTATTTACAAATAACCGTATGCAAACATCATCGAATGAGAAAAACAATCTCAACGAGAAGTATTCAGTTCATTCGCAACAGTCCTGGAAACATAACAACAAAGTTTGTAACAAAGACATGTAATCAGAATCCACAACAGAGGACTTACATGGCGGCTGAGGAGGAGGCCCATCTGAGGAAACACGTGATGAATTCTAAGGCACAGAGCATAGCAGCGTCATTGATCAGATTCTCTGCCACCATCTTCAGCTTGGTCAGACCAGAACTCATCAGTTCAGCCAATGATGCCTTGTCAGTCTTCATGGTCAAGTACTCAACCCTCACCATTTTCTTCCTAGTCTTTGTACACTTAAACAAGAATTGAATCTCTTTGGTCACAGCGCACCAAAAACGACCAGAAATCAGAGTATTTATAGTTAAAAATTCAAATAGAAGGAATCATTACATTATTCTAAGACTGCCGATTCATGAAGTTGTCAGTTCTTTGACTAAGTACTTGTTTATCTGTTAATTCTCTGACGTCTTCTTCTCAACCACGTCTTCATTGCCTCTGTTCTTCCTCCTCCTATGTACGCAAGAAAGCAATGATAAAAAATATTTTAAAAAACTACAAGAAACTCACAAACAAAATGTACAATCTGATACATTAATCAAGATTTCATTGGACACTGAACAATAGGTAAAATTGGATCATTGTATCATTACAAACTATTTTGCAACTTTACAACAGATCTTTCAGTTTTCAGTCAATCCCTTACTCAAAATTTTAAACAGAGCAATTTCACACTTAGACAACAAAGACAAAGGTACATTTTCCTAACAAGAAATGGAGAAAGATGGACCAAACTGGGTAGACAACGAAGAGATTTACGTGTCTATATGAGCGAGAGAATCAGCCAGAGGCTTGGATGTGCTCGTGAAGGAGACAGAGATACATATCTAGTGGAGGAACATCCGGAATGAGGAAAGACCGATGGACCAAAGTGGGTAGAGAATGAGAAGAACAAAGCCGAGGCTGTATGCAAGTGCATGCCTTTCAGTGAAGGCGTTTCTGTATCCACCAGAAGATTTGACATGTCGGTCCAAAAAGTAAGAGCCGATCAAAAGGCAATAGATCTCTAAATCCCTTGATAACACGAAGCTCGGAGCAGCCACCAGAAGAAGAACCAAGGCTCCTGGTATCTGCAGCCATTCTGCAGTTTTGGATCATCAGCAAATTACGCAACATAAACAATTTTCTTGTGTTTTTCTCTCTCTGAGTAACATTGTGATATAGAAAGGCTTAGCATGTGCAAAATGATCAAATTATCAGATATGTTATATATGGCAGATAGTGCAAGGAACGAGATCAGTCCGGGCAAAGTAGAATACATAATTCCATTTGTTAAGACGAGCCATGATATGATAAATTTAACAAAAGCATATAAAGGTCTAGGCCCTTGGTCTGTGTAGATGGTCGGTTTTCATATCCGATCACTCTTCTCATAGGCGCTGCTCTAGCCAAGAACATTGACAATCTAGCTTCCATTACAGAATGGATCCATGTAAGATTTGCAACTCTTCTTCAAGATTTGATGCATGACAAACTATTTTTCTTCCCTATACCTGGAAAACGATGTGGGCAGAACAGCCTGAGTACAACTAGGCAGAGAGCAATCCATTTCCCGAACTCTCCCCTGTGGAAATCGATCATCTTGTCATTACATTGCTTAGAACATCATATGAATGTGTAAGAAAAAATGGGAAAAGGAGACTCTTTTATTTACCTCATAAACAGGGAAATAACAGGAGGGAGGCTTATGAAGAGGTAGGGTGCTAAAAGGGAAGTCATCGTGTTCGTCCTCCAGCTTGTTCGATCCAATATCAACAGATAACTGTATGGACCATATTCATAGGAAATTGATTCTAATGAAGTGTTTTTGCAATGTCTTGATTACAGAAACCAGCAAAATGCATCTCCATTAACATCCAAATCCGAATAGAGCAGAATCATCAAATCACTCGCATATAATCATCAGAATCCACAACAAATGACTCACATGGCGGCGAAGGAGGCGACCCATCTGAGGAGGGACGTGACCAAATCCAAGCCGCCGAGCAAAACGGCGTCGTTCATCGGCTTCTCCGCCGCAATCTTGAGATGCTTCAGACAAGAACCGATCAGATTTGTCCTCTCCTTGTCGGTCATCATAGTCAAATAATCAACCCTCGTCATTTTTTTTCCAAATCTTCGCCACTTTCTCGGATAACAACGAATCACACTTATCACAGCAGATCAAAGAGGGGCCCCAAAATCAAGTGTTTACAATTGATAATTCAAAGAGGGGACCTATAGATTATTCTAATATTGCGGATTCATGCGGTTGGCTTCGTGTATATTCACAGAGACTTGCTTCTTGGTCTTCTTTTTGGACGGAAGTGTAAGCCCTAAAAGTCCACTTCTTCGACCTCTTCTCCGTCAACTTTTTCCTTCCCCTCTCTGTTCTCCGTCCGCCATCTCCGTGGTTCACCATCCTCCGGCGACAATAATGGAAAGTAACAGTCTTTTTTTTTTCACCTGGAAGTCGACAGTTACAAAAAAAAAAAAGTGGAAGACGACGAAGCAAGAGAGAGAGAGAGTGCGTGTGTGAGATCACTGAGATGTAGAGAATCTTTTCCTCTAATGAACAATTAGAAAACGTCAGGCATTTTGCCTCGAGATTTGAAAACCGGCAAGCAGTTCGGCAAACAAAGCTCAGATAAAAACTGAGATTGTGTTCCGACCTTTTTCCAACAAAAACCAAACCTGTCAGAAACTAAATTAAGAAACAAGATCGGAGGCCAAGTCAAAGTGATGTGAGTCTCATTCAAAAGCAAACACGCCATTGCCAGAAATAGAACAAAAGACAGAGACTTAGCTCTTGCAATAACCCGCTACTCAAAATCTAAACATATCCAAGATGTCATTCCATACCGTACAAACCGTATATATATATATATAAACCAATCATTACGTGAGTACAAGCCATGACTTTGCAAAGTTCACAACTTTCACAACAAATCTTGAATGTTTTCATTCAAAGCATCAAACCCATTACTCAGAATGTTAAAAACACTGCAAATTCACACTCTGAACAGCAAATACAGAACGGACATTCTGGGTTAGAAGAAATGGAGAAAGATGGTCCAAACTGGGTAGACGATGAGGAGGAGGAGACCAATGCTGTTGGAGATTCCATGTCTCTGGGTGAATGAGTTTCTGAATCCACCTGAAGCTTGGATGTGTTCGTGAAGAAGATAACATGCGATGACAAGACAGATCGCCGCCCCGATCCAGTTGTCTCTTAGGGTGTCAGCGAAGAAGCTCGGAGCAACGACCAGAAGAAGAATCAATGCTCCAGGTATCTCCGTCCAATCTGCGGTTTCATTTCTTATTATGGACCGTGACTCAGTAAACATGGACAAGAATTCGGACAAGGCTACGGTACTTCCTAATACCTGGGAACCGACGGTTGAAGAAAAGCCTGACCACAACGGCGATAAGAGCGATCCATTTCCCGATTTCTCCACTGAAGAATTCAATCAGTTAAAATCATTTACAGGATCAAGAATATCAATATTTTACATTCACATGAAAAGAAAAAAAATGCATGAAACTGCGGTTAACATTAAAAAAAAAAAACATGGAGAGATGATACTTTGGTTACCTGAAAAAGTCGAAAATAACGGAAGGGAGAGTGAGGAAGATGTAAGGAACCAAAAGGGAAGTCAACATGTTGGTCCTCCAGTTCGTTCTGTCCAATATCAACAGATAACTGCCCAACACACAAACACCCAAAAAAAATCAAAATAAAAAGATTGTTTGCATCCGACGGAAAATCATCACATGATCAGAACAAACCATCGAAAGAACGAGAAAACAATTCGTGTCGTAAATGACTATAAACCCTGGAAATGCCAACAGAACACAGATTCAGACATGAAGAATCAGCACTGACATGGCGGCGAAGGAGGCGACCCATTTGAGGAAAGAAGTGCCGAAGCCTAAGCCACCGAGCATGGCGGCGTCGTTGAACAGTTTCTTCGCCGCAAGCTTCAACTCGTTCATATCCGAACCGATCAGATTCTCGGCCTCCTTCTCCGTCTTCATCTTCAGATACTCAATCCTCCCCATCTTCCCTGTTTTTTTTTTCCCCTTCAAATTCTAAATCTCAAGACGAAGAAGTCGCCTATTTATAACAAGGGCGATCCACTATCATTGGAGAGAGAGAGACTGACAGGAGGAGGAACAAACTCATCTTCGCTGGCTTCTGAAATTTTCAGAAAAGGAAATTATTAATTTATTGTTATTTTAAATAATAATGCTGATTCATAAGTTGGTTAGGTTATTGGATAAGATTTGATTTTGGGGCCCACTATAGTTCCTCTCTTCTGACAGCTGTGTTTTGACCGTTCCTGATGACTCGCAGAGAGGTGCTCGCCACGTAGGCGACGTGGTTTCAGAGTGACACGTGGCTGATAAGCCTGCATCAGATGTTATGGGTTTGCCGTTGTCGTATGTTGGGCCTGGCACCCAATTACAACCCATCAACCACCGTAATGATATTCGTATGCTATTGTTTCAATTTATAATATACTGTTTTCCAGACCAGCAAATCACAGTTGCTAATGCTAACAAAAAACTGATTTGGACACGCGCCTCTAAATATCACAAAATAATATTATATATATATATATATATATATATATTTCAGGGAGGGACTAAAAAATAATGCTAACGAGAGTTACGGGAAAATGATAAAATCAGAATAAAATGAACAATATGAGAGAGAGAGAGAGAGAGAGAGAGAGAGAGAGAGAGAGAGAGAGAGTTGCAAAGTTCATGGAACAAGTCTCTCTTTCAAGTCAAGTCACGGTCTGAATGGAAAAGCACACATATAGAACAACAGCATAGGATATAAAGAAGCTCTCTCCTCCATCTATGAACCTAATTCACGGGAAAGTTAAAACTCCGGCTATGATAACGATACTGTCTTGTCCCAGAGCAAGTAAGATGAACACAACGCTCGGTTTCGGATTTTTTCTAATTTCTGCTGTTAACTAGTAGTAAATATAGAAGAAACCTAAGGGCATGTGGCCTTGATATGTAACTTTTCTTTTACCTTCAAGAGGAGTTGCCATCAGCTTTGTCCGAAGATTCAGGGGCCGGTTTCTTAGCCGGGATTGATTCAGCAGAGGTAGTGGGGTTCATCAATACTCGCTTCACTCCTCTCCCGACCACACCGAGATGAGTGACCCCACCGGATGCTCCACCGCCCGTGTGAGCAGTCGAAATGGTGGGTGAGTCTAAACCTTGGCTGGTGTTGGTGTTCACATTCCCCATTTGGCTGGAGCTCATTGCAGCAGAAGCAGAAGCGGCCTTCTCGCCTGCATTCGCCTTAGCTGACACCATATTTCCGAGCAGCTCTGAGAGGATCGATTTTGGGTTCTGGGCATGCTGCTGCAAATCCTCAAGCTGTGGAACAACGTTCGAGGAATCAGTACAGTGATCTGTTAGTGATACTCGTATGTTTTGAACGTTTGTTCAAGGAGGGTAAGGGTTTTTCACTTGCCTTCTTTTCTAGTTCCTCTGCGAGCCCAGATAGGTTTCCGATTTCAGCTTCCTTGTCAGGGGCAGATTTATCGATGTAGGATAAATTGGATGACTGTTGGATGCCCTCGTCTACTTCTGAGACGGTTGATGATGCTGCCGATCCTGACACACTCTTGACCTCGTTGGTGAGCCTCTCCACCCGTGCTTTGCAGATTGATATAGCCTTCTGACAATATGGTATTGCCTCCTGAGGCTTAGATCCAGTCTCTAGACACAAGCAGATACGGAAGTTTCTGAACCATGAGGTTAAGGTCATAGGATTTTTTGGAAAGAAAAAAGGTGTTACTAGCATGTACAGAATGATACCAACACAATTCAATTGAGAAATCTTCTAAGAAAACCGCATATAACGCGTGAAGGATACAATTCAGCTAGGTGCCGACTGTCAGGCTCAACCAGTCGTTCCAAGATGGCTAATGCCTTCTGGTAGTCGCTCAGGGATGATTCTATGTCCTCTGCATAGCAGTAGCACAAATTACTACCAGGTAAAAGCGTCTTTCTTCAAAAGATTAAAAACATCAACAATGCAATAGATCAATCAGTGACAATCATCACATCGAAAAGGAGGGAGAAAACCAATGCCTTACCTCTCTCCAAGGAAACTTCAGCAAGTGTGGACAGTATGTCCACCTTTTCCATAGTATCAGCAGAATATTTATCACCAATTGCCCTTGCAATGTCAAGCATTTTCCAAGCAAAATCCAAATCAGACTCGTCTTCATCTACATCACCCAGGTCCTCATCGTTGCTATCTTCCCCATCTTCCTCTTGGTCTTTTCCGTCTGAACCTGTGCCTGAAGAGAATAGGAGCCAGCCGCAAGCATGGAAATCACATAATATGAAACGGAAATAAGACTGCGAATGAAAACCCGCAAGAAAATAAAATCAAGACAGACAACAATCTCGGGTACCTTCCTGACCATTAGAATTCCCCTGTTGGTCAGCCTTACTCAAGAAAGATGTGGCGGAAGATTCACCATTCACAGCATTCTTAACAGAACCATCTTTACTGGATTCTTCTTTCTTGGGCATGTTGCCCAGAGGATCAGCTTCAGCTTGAGCCTTGTGCAACAGGGCACGCCCATATTGATAGTAAGCGTTCATGCATTCAACAGCAAGTTCACCATGGTGCATGACCCTGCCAAAAGACAATCGTTCCAAGCAAATTTTTTCCTCACTATGTGCCAAACAGGTTATAAATCCACATGAGGATGAGATCAAATTCAGCGGGAATACAATATATTTGAATGCAAAAAAAAAACCTAGAACAGAAAATGTAATCGCCCAAGCAGACTTGCAATCCCTTACCAATCTCTTCTCATCTCTCTCAAACCCAGAAATAGGTAAATCATTTCCACTATTTTGTTGATAGCAACTCCACACATTTCACCGAAAGAAGAACGCAGAAACGAACCTGATCTCGAGCGCACGGCTGAAGCAATCTGTGGCTTCATCGAAATCTTCCTCCTTCAAAGCCGTCGAACCTCTCTCGGTCAGCTCCTCCGCGAACTCGAGCGTCTTCTCTCGCTCCTCGTCAGGAACATCAGCAGCAGCGGCGCTCTCGGCGACGTTGTTGTTGTTGTTGTTGTTTCCGCCGTCGTTGCAAGTCGACTCAGTGCCTCCGTGAGCCACCGACTCGACAGTGGCCTCGATTGAGCCGGGAGCAGCCTCTAGGGTTTCGATTTCTGTCGCGGGCGCAGCTAGGGTTTGCTCCATCTCCGTCACCGAAGCCTCCTCCGACGCCGAAGCCGCCTCCTCAACCATTGCTGAAGCCGTCGAATTCCACAAATCTTCTTCAAAAATGAGAACGAATGAGCAAATTCCGTTTTTGTCAGACAAAATTTTGGGTTTTATTGAATTAATCAGCCGCTCAACACCAAATAAATAAATAAATGTTATATTTAATTTAGTAATTATTTATTTTTATCTTTTCCAATAAGAATATTGCGAGTATCCAAATAGTTATTATTTTTCTCACAAAAAAAAAAAGACATTGTTACCAAATGATATAGTAGCAGTCTATATAAGATGAACATTTGATAACAAACAAACACCAAATAAAGTTTGGATCCAATAAGATTTTTTTATTATGAAGTTTTTTGTTATTATTACGATAATATAAAAAAAATTAAATAGAACTCACGTCCAAAATAAAAAATAATAATATTCAATTCTGCCTTTTTCTTCTTTTGGACTCATTGCAACACGACAGCCAAATGAATAATATTTTTCCATATATATTTTAAAATATCAAAATCGATTTAATTGTATGGACTAACACAAATATGTAATATAAACTGCAATCTGTAGTCACAGAAGTTTATCAATTTATGCATAATATACACTCAAAGTAATTTACTGTTAAAATCGATTTAATTGAAGGGCTATGGTGATATGGTATGAGTTTAATTAATTAGAGATATCGAGCAATCATTCAAATTAGCATTTTTTTTATTTTTACTTAATTAGTCCTAAAAACTAAATAACAAATTATCATATTATATGAAGGTATTTTATTCAAATGATCTACTTGGATAGCATGAATTTCACCGATACACCGTCAAAAAAATAAATAAATTTTTAACAATTTTATACCACTGTTTCGATAAAAAAAAAGTTTGAAACATCATTTCTTTCACATTTTTTATGATTTTTATTGCGATTAATATATAACTAGTATACGTCAAAATAAGAAATATTTATGGTCGTATAGTAGATGAAAGTGTAAAAAAATAGTTATTTTTTAAATTGATGTCGCAATAATAATTTTTTTTTCCGAAGGAACAAATTAAGCGGAATCATTAAGGTTAATATGGGTGATTTGAGTAAAATACCCATTATATGAGCCAAATAATATAGTAAATTTTAATAAATAGAAATGACATCTTCTTTAAAGATATCTCCCTACTCTTGCGCTGTGTTCTTTCTCAGAGAAAATCGCTAACTAATTTTCCGTCATTCTCTCTGTTTGGATCCATAGAATCTGAGATTTATCGTTGAACCCTAAGTCTCCTTGGCTGCTTCACTGCGAAATCTCTCCTTTTTTTCTTCCGTATTCCCTACTCCGCTCACTGCGTGGCTGTATTCTTTTCCTCCACGAAAACATCAACTTTCTTCTTCTGTTCTTTTTATCGGGATTTGTTTCCCTTATTCTGGGGATATTCTTGCAGGTGCCGACATCGAAGGTTTGGACGAGGAGTAGATCGGCGGTTTTCAATAATCTGGTCAGATTTACTTCTCTCGCGATTTCTGATTCTTTATTTATCGCATTACGATTCCGATCCTCTCATTACGTATGCGTTGGTTGACATTTAGTTAGGGTTTCATTTGATGGGATTTAGTTTCCGAACTCGATTCCATGATACCTATGGTGAAATTATATTCTCCTGTCAACGGATCTTCGGATTGCTTATAAACCCTTAATTTTGAGTTTCTTGTGCTCGAAGGTAAACTGATGAACAGTTCTAAATCTTGGTTGTTTCTCCCCCTGTTTTGGTATTTGATTCTTGACATTTTTTCACATTCACTGTGTAGGAGTTGAGCTAAATGTTCCGCCAGAACTGTGTGCTTTTAGTTTATGTAATATATCGGTGTTTTGGTCGTTGATTTAACATGTTCTTGTATGTAGAGTATATCTGCCATCCACAAACCATCATAAATGGCGATATAGCCCGAAACATTCTGTTCTGGAACTTACAATGCATTTTCATGGTCTTATCATTTTGTAGCCCGAAACTTTCTCAATGATTTTATCATGTTGCTTGGCATTGCGTCTTGATAGCTTTTTCGTGTGTATCAGAGGAAAATGTCGAAGCTTGCGTGCTCAGCCTGCAAGTTCCGGAGGTGCAAGTGCACCAGTGAGTGTGAGTTTGCACCGTATTTCCCACCCGACGATGAACCCCAGAGGTTTGCCGTCATTCACCAAGTCTTCGGAGCCAGCAACGTAGCCAATCTTCTCAACGAGCTCCCGGCTAACCAGCGTCAGGATGCCATCAACTCTATGTACTATGAAGCAGAGACACGTTTATTGAACCCCGTCTACGGCTGTGTTGGCTTCATCTCCTTCCTCCAGCAACACCTGAAGAATCTTCTTCGAGATCTTGCCTCTGCCAAAGACAAGCTCGCAACCTATGCAGGAGTTAATGCTGATAAGGTGAATTCCCCAGCTGTTCCTTCCCCTTCATCCGACCCTTGGATGATCCCAGTGGGAGTTCCACCGATCATTCGTGAGTCAAACGATCCCCAGCCTCAGTCGTTGGCGCAGGCCCAACAGCTTGCAGCATCTGAACTGCAGAGGATGGTCGCTATACTTCAGGGCAGAGGAGGAAAACGGACGGCCGAAGGAGATGGAATCGACACAGCCGCCACAGGGTTCAGCCAGATGGACATGGATGGTGCTGATGGGTTAGCCGGGCTATCACGGATTCTAGAGAGATTTCGTGAGGCTTATCAGATTCCCCAAGAACCCGAGCAAGGACATCATATTCTTCCTGATCTGCTTCAGAGACAGGTCAAGCTTCAACCCTCCGACACTGCAGGACCGCTTGGTCCAGCTGACACGGCAGGAGCCAGGGCAGGTGCGGCTGCAGATTGATCATGGAGGAGAAGGACCTCTCTCTTGATTCAAACCTCTTTTGAATTCTCTCTTTGGCTGTTCTAGATTGTTTCCTGAACTGTGTTTTCGTTTTTTGGTGGAGTTCCTGTTCTGGCGTTGTACATATAATATCATCTTGCTAGTTTCGCATCAAGCATTGAGGGAGTTGTCTTGCCTCATTTCAATTGGGATAATAACTTACTTCATTGGTAAATTATAACCGTATTTGAAGGGGAAAAAAACTACTTAGATTTAAGAATTAAACGAGAGTTAAAAATTTATAACTTAAAAAAACGAGATTTCAATTAAAAAAAATGTTAAGCTTGCTTGAATGTATATTAAATTATTTATTAATCGTCTTTAGAATGATTAATAGAAAAGAGTGTTTTAAATTTCATGAAGTTTGTATAGATATATAACGATTGTTCATTTTTGTACCCGAAGAGCATTTTTTTTTGTCCATGGATGAGCAAAATTATGAGTTAAAATATCTAATTTTTTAATATAATTTATCTAAAAACGCACTATCAAATAATATACAAATTTGTTTTTACCGGACGCTGCAGTTGGATCACACGTGCATAAATGGGCACGTAAGCTTATATCATAAAACCAATCGTCTCTCGCTCTCTGTCTCTCCTCTGTTTAGTTTCTCATCATTCCTTTCAAGTTTTCTCAGAGAAAATCACAAACATTTTCCGTCATTTTTTTTTCTGTTTGGATCGAGAAAAAAGCTGAGATTTTTCGTCGAGGCCTACGCCTCCTCCTCCTCGGCCACTCTACTGCAAAATCTCTGTCCTTTTTCTCCGGTATTTTCTCCTCCATTCCTCATGTCGTAATCATTCACTTCCTTTTCCTCTTCCGTGTTTCATTTTTGTCGGGGTTTTTTTGTTTTGTTTCGCAGGTCCCGACATTGAAGGTTTCTACGTGAAGGAGATCGGTGACATCGATCGATTGGGTCAGATTTCTTTCCCGTGATGATCATATATCTGATCCAAAATCTCCAATCGCATTTTCTGTGCTTTCTGCGTTGTGGTTAGGGTTCGTTTGATGAGATTCAGTCGGACCACATGGAAATCGATTCATCTCTTTCGATCGTTTTGATGGAAAATGAATTGTATCTTCGACGAGATTCTGTTTTCCGTGTGAAAGTTGATCTCTTTCCTGCCCATTGGATCTTATGATTTGCCGGTAGAGACACTCGTGCTTATTTGGTTTCTTGTGCTCTAAGGCAAACTGTGCGACTGCTCTATCTTCTGTTCTGTTTTCTTATGTCTGATCCGATGATTCTGTCTGAAAATCTGTCCCCCATAGATTCATTCACTTCACGTGATTTGAGCTAACGTTTGCCTCTGGTTTTTCTTCCGGAGTTTACTAGATCGATCTCCTTTCAGTTATTGCAGGTGATGCATTAACGTTCGATACCCGAAAATCTACTCTTTTTTTTTGTTAAAAGGTATCCGAAAACGTATTTATTTTGCTCTTCTACCTTTTCTGGATAATGCTGCTTTGTAACATTTTCAGGAGAGAAGTTAAGAGGAAGAAAAGGAATGGCGTCGACACCATGTGCTGCTTGCAAGCTGCTGAGGCGGAAATGCACGCAAGAGTGCGTATTCGCGCCTTATTTCCCACCGAGCCAGCCCCAGAAATTCGCATTTGTTCACCGCGTCTTTGGAGCAAGCAACATGGCCAAGATCCTCAACGAGATCCCAAACCATCAGCGCGAGGACGCAGTCAATTCCCTCTACTATGAAGCGGAGGCACGCCTTCGGGACCCCATCTATGGCTGCGTCGGTCTCATCTCTTTCCTCCAGCAATACCTGAAGAAAGTCCAACACGATCTCGTTGCTTCCAAGAACGAGCTCGCTACCTATGTCGGGATCGAGGCTGTCTTGCCGTATCTGCCCCCTCCGGGAAACCCTCCGCCTAATTTCATGGCCACTCCCTCCCCTTTACCGTTGCCTATGGAGGGAATGCCTGCGGTGATGCCACAGGGACAAGCATTGGCCATGCGAGAGCCGAACCTTCCGCAAGAACAGCAACAGTTCACAGCCTCTGATGCACAGAGGATGGCCGCAATGCTTTTGGACCGAGGAGATCACGGGATTTTCGGCGGCGGGTTCGGCATAGAGAACAGTGGTTCGGTTACTGCCACAGGATTCAACCAAATGGACATCAACCAGGTTGGTGGGTCGTCATCAGCTGGACCATCCCTTGCTCTTGGAAGCTTTGGGGATACTTATCAGATCAATCAAGAAGCGGAGCAAGGCCATGAACTGAATCCTGACCAGTTGCAGACGCAACTCATGCTTCAGCCACCGGAGCCACAAGAAGAACCAGAAGGGCAGTTTCTGATGGCAGAGGGCGAGCCAGAGCAGATGCAAGAGCCTCAGATGGGTGGGGGAGGAAGACTGGGCAGTGAGGAAGCAAGTAACTGAGGCATGTTTTCAAAGGTTTGTCTTCCCTGCATCTCTTCTGTCGGTTGCCTCCTTTTCAGGCAAAAGGTTCTGTATCGCTTTCACTTCCTGATTACTCTCTACAACGCGTCTGATGATTTCAATTGATTATATATGGTTTTCTTTTTTCAGACATAGCGGAGGATAGGAACATGGGATGGTGCTTCAGAGACGGATGAAGGTTGTCGTGTTAACTTTTGTTTGATACAAGTCTTTAGTTAAACTTGTTCTGGCTTCTCTGACATCCTGATTCTGTCGACAAATTATGAACCTCTTTTCTTTTCTTTTTTAAAACTCGAGACTATTACAATGGCGGAGATTTGCTTATTCATTTCCTTATACTGTTGTTCCTTTCTTTTTATGTTATTGATTTTTTTTTATTCGGAAATTTTAGGGGGAAAATTCATTTTATGAAAATTTACAAGGCTAAGTTAAAATAGTCATATGTGGGCAAGTAGACATAAATATCTAAAGATGTAAATATCCGTACATATTTACTAAAAGCTACATACATATCTTTGTAACTGCCAATATTTGGCTTTGTACTTTTTAACTTCTGATTTTAAACATTAAATAAATTTTAAATAATTTTCGGATTTGTCGGGTACTCATGATTCGGATAGAAGGGTCGATTTACCTCGGCGGTAAAACCATTTACCGTGGAGTCTGAAGTCGTGGATTCGAATACACCTCTCTACATTAAAAATGTAGGGGCCTTACCCTAATATATTTCTTTCCCCACCACCCCATTAGATGGGATATGAACTGGTTGGTCCTTTACTCATGATTCGGATACCTAAAATTAGATCATATACCTTGATATTAAATGTCAAAACCTTGAAATACAGGATGGAGTAGAGTGAAACTTTCGAGAGAGAAAAAACCCTAATCTGTAGCCACGCATAATATAACAGAGAAGCACTTTGTCCGCAAAAACTACAACATCAAAGGGAAATCCGTTGTGTCTGTGACCCAAAACACTAACTATGACACAAAACTTTAGCCTAATCTGAATCAGAAGATTCCAACAACTGCGGATTCAGTTCAGCGACCATCTTGGACAGATTCTCTCTCATCTCCTGCAACTCTTCTCTCCCAAACCCCCATGTCCTCACCAAATCCGACCCGACCGCCCCCCATTGGATCCCATATTTCTGCAGATTCCCCATTCTCCTTTCCAAAAATGGTAAGATTGCGCTTGAACTCCTCAGCCTCGTCGCCAACGGCACAGAATGAACATCAAGTGGACCTCTGGGCAGAGAATCTGATAAAGGGCTGCCTAAGATCTCACCCTTTCGGCCAATGAGGTTACCGAATATACGCGGAAATGGCAGCGGTACTGGTAGAGGGCAACGGGATACCGATACATTGCAAAACAATGGTCTAACCGATGTGTTCTGCTCATAAGATGCATGGACAGCGTCCTTCGCTTCTGAAATAGATGCCTCTATACCTTCTGCTAACAGCGACGGAGATAAAACCATAGGTTTGGACAGCATGAATCAAACAGATAGATGAATTTTAGGATGAAAGGTCGAAGCTTTCAGCTTACCTGATCCGATGGCTCCGAGTAAACTCATGGATTCGATTGCCCTAGTGTCTTCTACATCTTCCGCCACTTCTGGTGTCAGTGGCTGCAAATCCATTACAAGGGTATTCTCCGATTGTTTCCCTGTATATACAAGCACGTTCAAAGTCATTTAGACGTTATGTAACGTTTTTTTTCTTCTTGAGATATGTTAAGACGTACCTGACAAAGCAGGGGATGGTATTGCAGCATCTAAAATAGCCACGATGTTCTGTCTATCCCGTCCCGATAACATTTGTACAAGCGTATTCACATCCATAGCACCCGACACTTCACTTGAATCCAGTGCTGAGCTTAAAGGTTCCATTCTGAAAGGGATAATGCTTGAATGCAGGGCTGCAGCATACACTGCACTGCTGTGATAAAGCTTCTCGTCTTGAAGGAGAAGATATTTCGAGGCTTTACCTTTAGAAAAACACAATAATTTAACAAAGATTAGTTCCATCTGCTCATTGCCATTTCTTGATTAACAATTACCTGTTTACGGAACTTGTTGCTACTTACTTCCACCCAAAGATGGAAGACCGACAGGGATGAACAGTTTGCAGAACGATGAGAGCCTTGAAAACGATATTGCATCGTGAAGATCACCTGAGATGCTTCTTTTCGAGCTTCTAGTATTCGTATGCAAGCTTGGACTTCTCACAGAATAAAGTAGTAAAGGAATGTTAGTGTAATCATCTGCAATGTTCTCTAGGAAATCCGCTGCTAAAGCAGAAAATCCTCCGGAATCATCCACGAGGAACTGAATGCCCTGCAAGAAAGAAAGCATGCGGGTGTTCCCTATCAATGCTATTAACCAGAAATGTAGAAAGAGGTTTAAAAGTAGAACAGGTTGAGCTGAAAAGTACAAACCTGGATATGATCACACTCTTCTACAAAGAAACGCAGCCTCTCAGATAATTCCTCTCCTCGTGAACCTTCAGAAAAGATGTCCCTACCGATTCCGTAGTTGTTAAAATCCTGAGAGTCCATCCATAGTCCGCTCAATTCGTATAAACTTTGAGGATGATAATGGACTTTGGAGAAGTCTGTCCAATACTCAACACCCTTGTCTAGGCATTCAACGATATCTTTGTCCTGACTTTCGCTCATATTATCATTCTCTCTGCCCCTTACTTTATCCTGTTCTTCCTCGTACAGACTCTCCAGAAATAAGTTCTTCTTCCGAGGTTCAGATGCATGAGTAGTAACATTTCCAAACCTGCATGATACACCAGCTGGAATTAAATCCACATATCCAGTATAAAGTTTCCGAGAAAAGAACTTATATCATCCAAGTGAAAGCAAAAGGAGCTGCAGTTGTGGAAAGTAGAGGAAAACATGGTAACCGCAAATATAACAAAATCCATATACAGAAGCACAGAAAACATGGTACTATACGATATTTACAAATAAAACAGGATTATGATATCGAAACTATTTGAGCAAACTTCTTTGATTAGCAATGTTTAAGGAAAGAACAGAATGCCACCAAGACAGTGAACTTCGGTTTCCTCACCAGGTGGAAATATTTGATCGTGCTGAAATTTTTTCACTGTAGATAGTACCACTTGAGCTCATGGAGCCCAACGAACCTGAAACACAAAACAGTCGACATAATAAACTGCAAATCAATATGTAAATACAGGGCTACTGTTATAAGCCAGACAAGAAAAATGAGATCAATGATGACAAGAATAAACTGAACTGAACCCACGCCTGTTGCAAGTGAAGCTGTGGTTTGTGTCGGATGATGGTGATACTGCGTAAATGCATTCTGGATCAAATTTTCTATCCTTTTTATTTGCCATCTTTACGAGTTTCTATCTTGTGTAGATAAAAGGAAATAGAACAATTAAGCACAGGTAATTTCTGCCTTGCTGAATGGACTTTACGATGCATATAGACAAGCCATATTGGTCCTATAGGCTACATTGTCATTACCTTGAAAATTGACTGAAACCACACGGGGCGTGTAAGTGGCAACTCCCTAAATAATTTCACCAACAAAAATAGTTTAGCTTGTTTGTCATCGAATAGAAAACCATAGCCGTTACCGGACACGTTACATTTCCAAAGGTTGCGGATTTATAAACACACTCAGCGAAGTAAATCAAGATTTGGTATGATTCCGACTAGCCAGAAATCTTGCAAACACTTGATTGATACCAATTGAAAATAATAAAGGGTCGGAAGAATTTTCACCATCTGGGTTTCACCGGCACGATAGAGCACGTCCATGTTGAGCCTCTGGTTTTTGAAGATTGGATCACTTTCCGGGTCATCTGCCAATCCAAGCAATTCATCCTTCAAGACAATTTGAGAAAAGTCCTCAGCTTTGATGATTGGAAAACAAACGAGAAGGAAAGCCGTCTTTTTGCACTTCAATTAAGAAAGATCTACTCTCTCATGAAATCAGAGACGAACCCTAAAAGCCAGTTACACTCTTCCCGCGGAAATTTGGTAAAGACCCAATTATAGTGTCTACGCATAGAGATGCAAGAAGAAATAATCGAGCTTCAAACCTGGAAATTCCAGAAGTGGGAGCCGACGAAGTTGGCAAATCCTCCAACTTGAACGGTCACGATTTCTCTCATGGTTCTTCTCCACAAAAATTGAATTGAAAAAAAAAAGAAGCAAACGAGCTTAAAATTTATCGTGAAATTAATTGTCCAGCAGTATTTGAGGAACACAGCCGCTTGTGAATGTGAACCACATGGGCCGCAGTTCTGAGAGGCATTTTATCGAGCAGGATGAGCGCAAATTTCACAACAAAAAGCATTAGCGAACACACGCGACACAAAACCTTACAATCACCGTGAACAACAAAACCAGTCAAAATCTAGAAGCTAACATAGCCAACAACACAAAACGTTTCGATCACCACCGCACACAACAAAGTCGGGAAAATCCAGAAGCTAACATAGTCAATTCCGCATAGCAATACGAGAATCAAAGCACAAATCTTTCTTCATGGGTTTCGAGAGAGAGAGAGAGAGAGAGAGTACTTGGGAGAGACGAGGTCGGCCGGGGAGGAGCGAGGGGGAGAGATTCGGAGAGACACGAGAAGGTTCAGGCTTTTTCCAACATGAGGACAGATTGGTTCACTTTAATTATATATACTAGGTGAGGACCCGCGCGTTGCGCGGATTGTTATGATTTTTTTATATAAAATTTATTGATATTAATATAATAAAATGAAATAAACAATTTATTTGATATAAAATATATATCTATAAAATTAAATATTGTAACTTCACCTTTGTATAAAAAAGTTGGAAAAATATGTTAGTTGTTGTATAAACGATTCAATGTCAATGATTTATTCTGATTATACCTAATATCGATCTAATTTGTTTGCTTCTCTTTACTAAAAAAATTAGTTACATAGTAAAAATATGAATAAAAAAAATATATTATTGACATTGACGAACTTGAAAAAAATTTCATCAGGTAACAATAATACATATATAAAATATTAAAAAAATAATAAATTATACAATCACTTGAAAAATGATTATATCATCCAAATCAATTTATTTATACATTAAAAGATTAACCGAGAATTTGATACGATTGAGATTTTATCACTATCTTCAGACGTCAATATAAAATTTTCAAAAAAGATTGTCTATTAATTTCTCTATAAAATCAAATAGAAAATCAAATAAATATGTATAATAACAAATTTATTTGCATGACAATTATATAGGAAAAATGGACAAAATAATAAGAATTGTTTAAAATAAAAATCATATAAAATAAAAAAGAAGTAAAAATTAAAAATAAAGAAGGGTTATACAAAAAATTTAATGGGGCATATTGTTTGAAATTTTATTAAAACTTATAAATAGTTCTTTTTAAAATATTATGGATCTCTCTATATATTTATATACATATATCTTTTTTTTTAATTTCTTAAAATAATTTTACACAAATATGCAATCGAATAAACAAACTAAATAATTAAGTGGATTAAGATTTCTGAATATTTATTAAAAAATATATATGGATCAGTATTTAAGACGTTTTGTTTACCAAGTCATGTTATCCTCACCTATAAAAGTTAATTTAAATTCACCCATATAAAAAGTAAAAAATTGAATAAATATTAATTAAATTATTTCTTACTCCATGTTTATATTTAACCAATAAATTGACTTTCATTAAACTATCTACTATTTGATATTTATATTTGATCAATGTTCTACTAACCATATATTTTATTTGTTAATGTTTTATTCCTAATTTTTTATTTAATACTTATTATTTTTTATAAAACTAATAACGATTCTTTTTTGTGTATATTTAGTTTGAAGGGTATATGTAATTTAAATTTGAAATTTATTATATTTTATAAATTTGTATTTAATTTTTATTAAAAAAATTATAACAAATTGTATGAATCTTTCATTCACCAATTTATTTTCTCTAATTCCATTTTAAAATCTTATCATTTAGTTTTATTATAATTGTTTTATAATTATATATTTTATTTATCTATTCTTATTTTATAAATCAATAAACCACATCTAAAATAAAAATAAATTTTATTCAAATAATTATATTTTGATATATTTTTTATTTTTTTATTTTTAATTACTCATTTATCCATTTCAAAATTTTTTGTTTAATTTTATATTTATTTTATTTTATTTTAAAAGTTTTTCTTTTAATTTTTTAATAACATGTTCTATATCATTAAAGGGAAAAATTAAATTCAACTCGTTCTATATATATAGGGATGGACATAATATCCCGAAAAACCGATCATATCCGTTGTTCGATTCGTATCTGAACCGAAAACTCGGATACCTACAGTTGACGGATCGAATATGAATATTGGTTTCAAAATATTTGTCAGATACGACTCGGATACGCATATCAAAATAAAATTATCCACATATCTGATTCGATATGTATTTTTTTGTAATTTTAAGTATATATGAATAATTTGGTAATTAATGTATATATAAAGGTAACTCTGTTAAAATAAAAAATTTAAAATCTGGTAGAATCTTTTTTCAAGAGTTCTTACAGTTTTTCAAGAATTCTAACACTTTCGTATGCACCTCCCCCTTCTCTCTCTTTTTCTCTCTCTTAAATAATCCACCATCTTTACTATTCTTTCAATCTCTCTACGATGATTTATTAAGTGATTAGGTACTTTCTCAATCCATCATTGTTTTCGATTTCCATTGCTATTCGGATGTTTGTTTGTAACTAAATCATTGTTAAATAGATTTGTGTTAAAAGAGACCGAAACGCGTATAGAGCCTACGACGTTCTCTTACTTCTCGCCTAGCCGCTTCTTTTGATTTGATTGTTATTTGAAATTTCTAGACCAAAGAAAAAGCTCTTGAATCCGTGCAAAGAAAAGAAAGAGAATGCGGATAAATTTCTAATAGAGTGAAACTCTTGAATCATGACTCGTTAGCAGTTACACTTACTCAATAGGAGAGTTTGTCTTTGGAACGGTGGATGATGGCGGATGATGTCTAATTGGTTGCTAACACTATTTTATTTCTTTGGCCTCCTAATGACCATTTTATTTCGATTTCCATTATTTTTTCCTAAGATGTATATGTATATATATAGATATATGTATATATGGATATTTGATTATTTGTTATTTTTATATCGAATACGGATATTTGTAAATATCCGTGTTTTTTATGGATATCCGAATTTGCAAATATTCGAAAACTATGAATCAGATACGAATATAGAAATATAGTATTCGTACTCAATTCGTGCCCATCTTTATTATAATAATATGATATACCTATCTAATATACATTTCATAACTCAATATATAATTTAAAATAAAATAAATAAATAATCAAATACAAAAATAAATAAATCTATATATAAATACAATATGTATAATAAAAGACATACTTCGATAAAATTATAATAATTATTTGAGTATAATAATATTGGTATCTATATAGAAAAATCGTTGGCATGATCACGTTCAAAAAGTTTTGTAAATATAAGTAAAAAAATAAAATTATTTTAATTTATTTATTTTGTACCTATATTATAAACAATTTATCATGATTATTTATTTTTTACCTATATTATAAACAATTTATCATGATTATTTTATCATAGTTACCTATATTAATTTTTTTGTGTGTTTATCCCATTTAAATTTTATATTTTTATATTTATAAAACTGATAACTATTCATTTTTTAACATATTCAGTTTTAAAGATATTCTCACTTTAAACTTAAAATTTATTACATCTTTAAAATATTCATTTAGTTTGTATTAAAAATAACAAATAAATAATCAAATAACAAATAATAAAATTAATAAATAAATAACTTAATACATACATACATACATATGTATATACACACACATATACACATACAAACATACATACATAATTTCGTCCATACTTTTTTTGATTTAATTGATTTAATCTAAATTTAAATTTTATTACATGTATAAAAATATTTTTTTAAATAGTAATAAATTATATAAGAAACGATTAAATTTATCTTGTCTTAATATATTTTAAAATAACCTTCAACTATTATTTATATTTAAAAAAAGTTTTTATGTCAATTCATTATAAAAAGTAAAAATCCAAAAAAACACGGAGTTTTGTAATGTTGATGGAAAAAATATTGTACTTGTGTTTTTATCAAATAAACATTAAACTTTTAAGTGAGTTTAAAAAAATATTAAATTTTTTAATTGATCCAAAAAACTATAAAATTTTTTGTGGAATTATAAAAAAAATACTAAACTTTTTAAATGATTCTTACAATTGTCTAAAAAAGCAACCACAATAATTTGATTTGTGAATTTTTTTGTGTCACATCAAATCATTTGTTTATTTTGACAATCGTAGAAAAATTAACTGTTTTTTACAAATTTTAAAAAATTAATATTTATTTGGTAAAATCAAGAGTTCAGTGTTTTTTTTTCAAAATTAAAAAGTTTAGTATTTTTTTGGTAATTTTCTCTTATAAAAATGATCATCAACTATATAAATATTATAAACATAAAATTGTTTTAAACTCCTTAGTCAAAATATAAAATTTTTCCACATAGAAGAAATCAAATATTAAAGATTTCTATATGAATACAAATTTTTTAGAATATTAGTATATTTCCACTAATTACAATCGAAGAAAGTTCATGTATTTTTTTAATCACTAAAAAATTCAATGTTTTTTTATAATCGTAAAAAAGTTCATGTATTTTTTGGATCACTTAAAAATTTCAGTATTTTTTTAGATTCATTTAAAAAGTTTAATATTTATTTGATAAAAAATAAACTTCAATGTTTTTTTGGAAATTTTTTCTTTTCAAAATTAAAAAGTTTAGTATTTTTTTGGTAATTTTCTCTTATAAAAATGATCATCAACTATATAAATATTATAAACATAAAATTGTTTTAAACTCCTTAGTCAAAATATAAAATTTTTCCACATAGAAGAAATCAAATATTAAAGATTTCTATATGAATACAAATTTTTTAGAATATTAGTATATTTCCACTAAAACAACAACAACAACAACAACAACAACAATAATAATAATAATAATAATAATAATAATAATAATATTAAACGATAATCTAATAATCATATTTTGGAAATAATTATACCAATTACATTAATATATTAAATAGTAATATTTTAGTTTGTTTATTTGCTTATCTATGAACATGACAATGTTTTCAATTTTTGAGTAAAGGTACGGATTTAGAGTATAAAACAGTTCATTTATTATATATTTGTATTATTTCATGTAATCTATTTTTTTGTGTGCTTAAAGAAAATATTTGTTCTTGTTGATTTGAGATCTAAGTCTAGTAAGAAAAATTAATGAGATGAAGAAGAGAGAAGATAAAGGTGAAAAAAAAGTTTTTCTAATTACTCTTCTTTATTGGTATTTGTCTACATATAACAAACTCCTTATACATGCTGCCAAAATATTCGCTGCTACGTATTTGGTACCGCAGTACATACAGTACAATGAGCTGAAAATTCATTATCATATTAATATATACATATATTTATTTCTTAATGGCCCAATTGGCCCAAATCCACTTTATTATCTTCTGTTATCATTTTCTTCAAGGATTTGAATCACCTTATTGGATAATCCTATCTCCTGTCCACTGTTTTTTCCAATTTCTCCATCTCATATGATAACCAGCCTTCTGCGAAACAAATACGAAAAAAACGTAAAAAACGATGCAGAAATGACCCTATCCACCGGATTTGAAAACCGTACCTTATGTTTCTTGAACTTGACGCCGAAACATGAAATGAAGGAGGTGAGTATATATATGCATATATTTTAGAGAGAGAGTTTCTTCGTCAACCCTTCGACTTGAGAGAAGCAGTGACATGAACAATATGTTAGTTTTTCCAGTATTTTTTAGTGACCCAGTTTGATTATTGTTGTAGTAACCGAAAGGAAAGCTAAACGTGGAATATTACAATAATCAATTTAGAATAAGGAGTTGTAATTAAAAAACGAATTAAAAAAAGAAAGAGATAAGCTTTCCCAAACCACTCAAAATGAGGAATATCGATTTCAAGAAAACAAAAGAGTGTAACCAATAAATAAATGAAAATCATTGGTTTAAAAAATAGACGCACTGGTTGGGATAGAACTTACATCCTCCTTAGATAAGCATGTTGAACTTTGACTCAATGTAAAGTTGAAGATACCTAACCTTCACAGGTTTCTGCGAGCAAAAATATTAACAATGGACATCAGAATTAAAAGAAATATAACTTACCATTTTAACTGTCATTTCTTCTCCAATTGCACATTCACCCATGAACCGAAACCAATGATAACAATTAGATAATATGTATCTTAGCTATAAAAGATAACCACAAAAAAGATATAAAATGGAAGAAGGATTGGTACTAAAAGTAAAATACCGGAACTTTGGAGTACATGTTCGAACTTGAATGTCGGCATGAGATAATAGTTAGATTCAACGACCTCTCCAATAGGTATTGGGACTCAACCTCTGCTACAAGATCCATCCTGAAAAAATCAAGCGGTTCGATCAGTATGCCATGAAAACTACTAAACATTGAATATTGGCTCATTTTAACCCACAGCAAGGACGTAACGTATTGGTGAATATATACATGTGTTTGGAATACATGGAGCTCTTTATGCGGTTTTTTTTTTTATGAAACTTTTATGTATTTAATTATTATCCATCAATGTTCGTAACATAAGATTGATTAATATTCCAATATAAATTCATATTCAATAGTAATATATAATATTTCTTAATAAATTTAAACCATTAGTATTAAATCTCTGACGGTTTTGGAATATAAAACAAAAAATTAATTAATACCAACTTTACGTATCAAGCTTTACACCATCAAATCTCTATTATAATATAAAATAAATTACTCTTAGTTGGTTTTCATTGTTGGGCTACCGAAACATCTTGGACCGTTTTTTTTAATAATTGTTTTACTCCGCTAAGTAATCCAAAAGTAAATGATTTACTCCAAAATAATTGTATTCATTAGTAGATGTTTTGGCCTTTTTATCAATTAATTTTTTGGTTTATTTTATTTTATTTTTCATATTGTTTATTCTATGCAAAAAATTAAACCAATAAAAAATAACGCAACCATTTGTTGGATTGTATATAACATTGTTAATTCACTATGTTTAGGTTGAAGATAAATTTACAAATTTTCATAATAATATAATTATTTTATCCTAATGTGTAAAACATAATTAGTTGTACCAATAGCTATATAAAAGAATGTCACGTATATATGATGAGGTGGAGGATGAGAGATTATAGTTAAAGATTTTGAATGAAAAAAATACTATATGGATAATGAGGTGGCAAAAAAATGATATATGGATGATGAGGTGGATGCTTAGGTGACTTCACCAGAAACCTTTAAATATCTTTATTAATATATATAGATTTAATTAAGGTAGGACATCGGGGCATACGTTCAAGATTTTATAAGATGAGATGAGCATTAAGACATTAGGAGTGGAATAAACTACTCTAATAGAGTTCGCCCCAATCCAAAACAAAAGACTGTCCAGATGAAAACGAAATCATATGATCTTCCTCGAGATAGCTGAAAAGGAGGAAACTTTGGGACAAAACTTTGATTTTACTAACAGTAACACAACAAAATCTCGAATTCCTCGGTAGTTTTCTCTTTATGCCGAAAGGGAAACAGAGCTTGAAGATCTCCGTCTCTTCCAGCAAATCCTATATCTTTATTCTCTCATGTTTACATCTCGAGTTCCCTCAGCAGACATCATATATATATATATATGTATATATATAAAGATGTTCTATTTACTCGTTTCTCAACTTTTAAAGCTGAAGATGCACTAATTCTTCTGCATTAGATGCGTTCTTGCAGCTCTGTCCATCAGATTTTGCCTCCTCGTCGTCCTCTCCTTCCGCAGCCTCTGAGCTGTGGCCTCCATTGCTCGAGGCCCCTCTCCGAGCGAGTGGCCCTTGTGGAGAATCCGACTGAGAGTGAGAGATGCCTCGGCTCTCCAAGTCACTGCCTTTACACTGGATTCGACCCGACCCTCCTGTGGTTTTCGCTGTTTCTGCAGCTGCGAAAATCGTTTTCGGATGTTTCCGGACATGGATTCTGTATTTCTGCAGACAATACAAGAAGATCATATACATAAATCTCATGAAGTTAAGAATGATTGATAGTTCTACTGGTTTGAGAGAGGTTTCTAAAGGAGTTTATACTTGTAAATGGCTTTTCACTTCATCGTTGGTTAGGCCTTCAACTTGCATCAGTTCTCTAATCTGCTTAGGCGTAGCCGCTGCGTAAAACATTTATTAATCTCAGAGATAATCAAGTAAACAATATTAATATTAATCTCCTAAAACGCAGAACCAAAACCCACGTATCAGATGATAGAAGAATCAATTACAGAACAGACTTAACTTCTAGATTCCCGACACACGAAAAAAAAGTAGAGATCTTTGAGAACGACGAACCTTGTGAACCTCCGAGAAGTTGAAGGGCGTCGATGAATTTCCGGTGGAGCTCCGGCGACCATCGCCGTCGTTGCTCTTTCTTCTGCTGTTGGCTTAAGGTTTTGCTAAGTTGACGACGGTCAACCCTGCAATTCACCACCGTGTCTGAAGCTGGAGTCATTAGGGTTAGAGGAGGCGGAGAAGGGTGGTAGCTTCCGCACGGACGCATAAATGGCAGAAATGCCCCTCCGTTGTTAGCAAAATTACAGTTCGGGAACGGGTTCTGTGTCAACGACCGATCTTCTTCTTCTTCTTCCTCTTCCTCGTCTTCTTCGTTTCTCTGTCAACAACATAACCATAAAGATTGGTCCTTTTTTTCTCTTTTCTCCTGGCTTCAACAATGTCAAAATTAAACGTAGAAACACACAAAGAAAACGGAGGCTGATTTATGGATTACCGATTGCAATTGGGAATCAGAGTTCGAGATCCATAACTGGGCAGAGCTCATCCAGTTCTTCTTGTCATTTTCCACTTTTGCCCCTCCACCATCATCAAATTTCCGAATCGATGCCACTGATCCTTCCCTCGCCGACCCGTCTCTCTTCTCTGCGGAACGCGTCGCCCCTTTCTTCAACCTTCCTATCGCTGCAGAAGACAAAAAAAATGGAAGAAAACATTTCAGAAAAATAAAAAGGAACAATCATCGAATCAATCGAAATGGAAAACCAGAATCAAAGATGTACCTTCGTTCAACAGAAGCATGCAGAGAGGGAGTTCTCGTTTAAAAGCGTCGATCTTTCTCCTCTCCTCCTCCAATCTGTCGACCAATCCACCGATTTCCGACAGAGTCGAAGGACAGTCCTTGATCAACGACACTTCGTGGAGGAATTCAGATAAGGGCTTTGGCAAACAGTACACACCCAAATCTAAATTAAGGTCCATCCTCCGATCGGAATCTGTTTCCACCATCTGCCGTTTTTTTTTTTTCCTTCTCTATGACCAAACAGATGAGGACAAAGGGATCTAAAGATGTATTTATAGAGGAGGGAAAGACGCGGTGAAACGCCGGCGTCGTAAATAAGAGGGCATCTGGAGGGTATTTTAGTAATTCGAGGGAAGTGTCTTTAAATGGTACAGGAATCTTTTTGGATGCCGTACACACGCGGCGAATCGTCGATACAATCCACCGCTTGTATTTTGTTCCTTTTTCCGGTGTGGGAAAATTACGCTTTTGTTCTCCACTACCTTCCTTGAACCCATTTCTTCATTTTGGTTAATACGCTCCTTAATTTTTCGCGATTATCATAAGATTATATAACGTTTTGATTAAGGGTGTGTATATTTAAATTCCATTGTTTAAATCCAAATCCAATCAAACTAAATAATTTATAATTATTCTAAACAAAATCTTAGATTTAATATAATTTTTCCACAATAGAAAGTTCAATCCAAATACAAAAACAAAAAACAAAATTCCGAACAAATCGAATTTTGAGAAAATAAATATTTTTAATAAAAAAAAAAGTTAAATCGAATGAAACTTGATATAAAGTAAATTGATTTAATTTTTATATAATAAAAAAACTGAATGTATATCTGAATCTAGGAAATATAAAATCTTATACAATAAAAGAAATATTTAGAGAATATTTTTAAATAAGATGTAAAATAAGTTATAGATACGGAAAATAAAAATAAGTTATATCGAACAATCTAAAAGAAAAAAAAAAGGAAAGTGGCTAAAATGTTAGTAAAAATGTTCATACTGAAATGATACAAAACGAAATATCATAAATAAAAAATAGATATGATGTATATGGTAGAGGAAAAATATTACAACCAAATTTTGTATGCGCCATTGTTATTTTAAATTGTATACAAAAAATGTATATATATATATATATATATATATATAATTAGTGCTCGTGCCTTAGTCAAATTAGTATATATTAAAGCATTTCTTTAAAAAAAGTATTGTAACAGTTCCAAAGGAATAAAATAGTTGGTATATTGTTCCAATGGAGCTTCGACCGCAAATCCTATATGCATATATGCAACGGCATAAATTCATACGCAAAGATTCACCTGAACTTCCACAAAATGAAATTTTATCTAATTATATATATACTTATATTTTATTTTCTTTTACTAAATACTAAAAACAAATTATTATTACTAATTCTATTTTATATTAACATCATACTGAAATATTAATGAAATTATTTTCTTCGCTAAACAAACCATCATAAAATAAAGAAATCATTTTTTCTATTGAAAATAGAAAAAATCTTCTTTTTTTCCATCGATATTTTGCGACAATACAATATTCTCATGTTCTATTAGATCCTTTTTTTACATGTTTTTTTTATAATAGTATTAACAAATAATACTTTAATGTTACTATAAAAAAAATAAATTTAGATGCCAACACATGGATAAAAAAACATCCAATAAATAATTTAATTTTTTTTTTCTAGTATTCTCTTTTTGTCACTGCATAATGCGCTAAAACAATTATAAGGGGAACATGAATTTATAGTTGAAAGGCCAATATGATGCATCGAATTGTTACAAAATGGGTTAAATGTCAAAACCACAAACGGAGTATGGGGTCCCAATCCAAATGCATAAGCTGACACTTCCCTGTACGCATTCCAACAACATTTTCAAGAATCCAAAGGAAAGGGCCACAGTAATTAAATTTAATCAGTGGAAATTTTACATAGTTTAAATCCGCGCATGGTATATAATATGTATACATATAATATAAAAGAAATTAATTTCAATATTTTTTTATGAAAATGTGAAAAGTAATTGCAATATTCAACGACACTACATATAATTTTCCACTATATAATCCGATATTGTATCTACCGTGGCCTCGGATTCAAAGTTGGAAGGAATAAATAAAACCCGAACAAATGAGTGTATATATTGGCCATGTGAAAGATTCCACGACACAAAGCAACTTTATTTGACACAAAATCACTTTAAGTTTTTGTTTTTAATCACAATTAATTTCCCGTATTAAAAAAAAGGATTTGGACGACCGCCATTTTTTCATTATAAAAAGTAGTATTATTATTTTGATAAAAGAAACGTTCACAATGACCAGTTAAGGAATCTCGCATACGAGCCAAATGAACGGCAGCCAGAACCAATGAAAAAACGACACGTGTCGAGCAGACAGTCTGATGATTAGATTCTCTCGTGGGTTATCGACACGTATACGTAACATTTTGTCCCGATAGTTTCCACAAACGATGGCTTTTAGTTATATATATGCCCCCGTCTGTTTTCAGGGGATAAGGTTCTCTCTCGAAGCAAATGTGTTTTTTAACATCTGAGGATCATGTGATTTGATGGTTAAATTTTATATTACACTTATGTCATATACATACCATTTGAATTTTATATTGTTTAGATACTTTTCGTTTTAAAATATATACGCCTAAATATTACGGCACTTTATTCATATATCACTATGAATCCGAAGGTTCATCAATTGAAAATTTAGAAGGAAAACAAATCGTTATATGAGTCCGAAATCGTAGACTAATAAATTGAATATCGATATATTTAGAGTTTAAATCTTATCTGTTACCGTTTGGTATGTGTGTTATAACTTCAAACCAATTAGATTTTTAAAAATATTATTCGGCCGTTAAATGTCAGTTTTATAATCAATCATATTAAGATATTATCGGTAAACAAGCTATAAATACAATTTGAAGATCAGTCTACTCTCTATCACGTTAGTTTTTATATATATATATATAAAAAAAAATGGATGGTCTGAATCTGAATGATTCGGTTTCCTTTATTTATTTAAATAAATTTATAATCATCAGATCCGTTGTCGTCCAGCGGTTAGGATATCTGGCTTTCACCCAGGAGACCCGGGTTCGATTCCCGGCAACGGAAATATTATTTTTATTTTAAAATACTTTTCAGATTTAAATTTTATGCTCAAAACAAATAAGAGGTTTCATGTTGTAATTATATTCACACCGCCAACGCCAATATACGATTATTTATTACATGAAAATCTGATTTAACCCCTAAAAAAAGGTAATTATTGGAATTAATGTACACCATCACATGACGTTAAATTTGTGTAGAAACACATGGGCTATATTGAAAAACTATTCCGTCTTTTTCTCCTTTTTTTCCTCCGCTGAAGCCTTCTTGCCCTTCCTCGTGACTATCTTCTCACGAGCTACGCTGTATGCTTCCCGTGTCTTCTCTTTCAACCTGTCCGAGATTTTCTTTATTCTCCCTTTCTGCTTCTCCCAGAACACCGGCACTGTCAGCCCCATCACAGATCCTGTCCGAAGGATATATTCATCATGTGAACCAATAATGGCTTCAAGAATTGTTTAAAATGTATATAGACTCGAACACTGTTTTTCGCTTTCTTGTTTATCACGCGTATGGAAAGTACCTATGAAGAGGAAAGTCTGGAAATCGAGAAGGTTCCCGACACGTGACAATATCCATAAACCGAGAACAGTTCGTGCGAAAACGAACCATTCTCTCTCGGAGCTGACGCTAAACATCCATCTTATGGCTTCTTCCCCGAGTTCCCGACAGGTTGACGCCGTCTCCGCCGCAAAATCCTCCGACACTCGCAATCTCGACAGTTCCGGTTCTCCCCTGATCATGGGAACACGATCGAAAAACGGCCAGATTCAAATATATATTTGTGAAAGGGTTTTCGCATCAGAATATGGGAAATTACTTGTGGAGAAGTCGAAGGAGATTGCCCCAAAGGAAGAGCAGAGCAACGGCGGCAATGGCGGCCCATGAAACTATGGTCATGGAGTTGAAACCATAGACGTTTAGCAAAACCCATGTCGCAGTCTCGACGATGAGGATGGAGAATGCCAGTTTCTTCCTCCTCCATAATATTATGTCCTCCACCGTGTTAGCTTCGGATATAACACGGCAAAATAACTCAGGAAAATAGTATAAATTTCGTGTGAAATTTATGTAAATGTTATATATATATATATGTATAAATTTGTAGGGCCGTCTGTATATAATTAAGATAAGGGATCATCGATCATAGTTACCAGACTTGGGTGGTGGAGCTTCTGTAACGTCGTCGGACATGGCTCTCACGACCGGATTGAATCTTCAAGACCGAAGATAATTGACTATATTTTCTTTTTTGTTCAGGAAATATATGATTTTTCAGATTGCATTGTTAGAAGAAAAAAAAATGGAATGCATATAATTGGACCGTGGCATCGTTCGTGGAATGAACACGTCGTGGGTGAGGTTGTGGTGACGTGTCAGACATGCAGTGTTCGTGGCATTAAAAGCACAAAATGTGTTGCTCACTAATCTTGGTGACCAAACATCGCCATGCAGCCGATGGAAACCCCAACACACACACACACACACACACACATATATATATATATATATATATATATAGATCTTGGAGCGTGTTTAATATTCGATTTTGAATTGGAAAATCTGATTTTACACTGATAAAATTATTCCAATTCGATCAAATACATGGATATTTTACTTTTGGATCCGATATTATATGCAGGATATTTTTTCAATTTTGTCCACCTATATACATATGTGTTTCCAAACACAATTGGATGCTTAAATGCTTTAACATAAATAGAGTTTTAATTTTTTTTTCTTGGAAAAAAATCCCGTAACCACAAAAAGACTATCTGATGTCAAATAAATTTGACGTAAAACAATTACGTCACGACAAGTGATATCTTAAAATACTTAAATCTTTAAATAATCTCACATAGTTTATCAAATTTTGGTACAACAAACTCACAGAGTTTAAAAAAAAAAGAAATTCGTGTTAGAACTTTATTAAAATAACACCCAACAGATCGTGGGTGAATAGTCAAGATTGGGGTAGAAGATAACTTCACCTCGAGGTCGAGGTTGAGTGTTCGATTCTTGATTGGTGAGGAGGAAGATAATCTCTGGATTTATATAATCCATATACAAAAGGCTATTGGCAGGCCGGAGGTAAGGGACCATTAATTAAATTTCAAGGCATTAAATTGTAGTTAGATTTAATTAGCGCATTATCTAGATCGTTAATGGCTACTGCTAGGTCAGAAAAATAATGACCAGTTAGATATTTTATTTTGTATTTCCTCGTCTTCAAACCATCCTAAGCCAACCAATGTTGACTAGACTTTACACAACTTCACAAGGTTTAAGAAATTAGAAGCTATAATCATACTATTTTTGAAGTTTTCTTCGCATTGATTTGTTGTTGTTGTTTCGTACTTCCTCCGTTTCGTTTTAGGTGACGTTTTAGAGTTATTTTTTTTGTTTTAAAATAAATGACGTTTTGAAAGCTAAAACGCTAATAATAAATAATTACAATATTATATGAATCATAATTAAAAAGGGGTATTTTAGACAAAATTTTATTTTTTTAATATGTATGTTGAAAGCTAAAATGCTAAGGAGCAATCGGTAAATTGTGACAAATATGTCACATCATTAGAAATCTATATTTTTTCTCTCTCTTTACAAACTATACCTTTTTATAATTTTTTTTGATAAAATACCTTTACTTTATTATATAATTTCAATATTGTCATTTAATGTCCCGAGAAATGTGCAGCATAAAAAACAGTTTTTTTTTTAAAACTGTGTTATTCGGAAGACTTGTTTTTTCATTCGAGATAACTGTTTTTCATCTGAAAGAGTCTGTTTTTTATCCGGAAGATCTATATTTTGTCCGGAAGAATCTATTTTTTGTCTGGAAGAACTGTTTTTTGTCCAGGAGAGTTTTTTTCGTCCGGAAGAGTCAGTTTTTTTGTTCAGAAGAGCTGTTTTTCGTTCGGGAGAACTATTTTTGTCCGGGAGAACCGTTTTTTGTACGGGAGAGTTGTTTTCCGTCCGGGAGAGTCTGTTTTCTGTCTGAGAGAACTGTTTTTTGTTCGGATGAAAAATAATTTTTTCGGATAAAAAATAGTTCTCCCGAATGAAAACAAGTTCTTTCGGATGAAAAAAGTTGTCCTCGATGAAAAACAGTTGTCATAGATAACAAAGTTTTCAAAAAAATCTGTTTTTTATACTACACATTTTTTAGAATGTTAAATGACAATATTAAAAATAGATAATAAAATAAGAATATTTTTATCAAAAAATTATATAAATGTATAGTTTGTAAAAGAAGGAAAAAAAAGGATATAGATTTCCAAATGAAAATGACATGTTTGTCACTTACTCAAAATTTTTCAAACGGTCAAATAAAACTAAAAGAGGGAGTATCTATTATTATTATATATAGAAATAAAAGCCAAAAATTTCAGTTGTACAGCCCTCGTGAAAGCCACCTTTCATAATGCGCTATATTGCAGAGACGACTGACTTCTCAAAGTGACGAGATGTGATTGGGATATTTTCTCTATAAATTGTGGGTGGAGTAACCAAAATAAACAGCATACACCAAAAGAAGAAGAAAAAATGGCAAACGCAAAGGAGAAGCACCATTTCATACTAGTGCATGGCGCGGGCCATGGCTCGTGGTGCTGGTACAAGGTGAAGCCGCGGCTCGAGGAGGCAGGCCACCGAGTCACGGTGCTCGACCTAGCCGCCGCCGGGATCGACATGAGATCGATTAAAGACATTGACACGTGCGAAGAGTATTCCAAACCGTTGATGACGGTTCTTGGTTCGTCATCACCATGTGATGGTCATGATGAAAAAGTGGTGCTTGTCGGTCATAGTTTTGGAGGTCTGAGTTTGGCAATGGCGATGGATAGGTTTCCGGACAAGATCTCTGTCTCTGTCTTCTTGACAGCTTTCATGCCCGACACCAGAAACCCTCCATCGTTCGTTATCGATAAGGTACCACGTTTTTCTTCGTTTTAATTTTCTTTTGTAACGAAATCCAAGAGACGATTTACAACGCAAAGTCAAGAAGCATTTGTCTGTATCCGATACGCGCGGTGATATGCCCAACAATCTATATATAAGATATAAGATATTGTCAAAATCTTGGAGATTTAATGGATAATTAAGGAGTTGAAAAATCAAATCTGTTAGTCTTAATTACAAGCTGATTTAACAAAATTAATGGTTATACATACGTTATATATACAGTTCGTGAACAACATGCCACCAGATGCATGGATGGGAACCAAGTTCGAACCGTACGGCCCTCATAAAACCGGCCTCAGTATGCTGTTCAGCAAGGATTTCATGAAGCACAAGCTTTACCAGCTTTCTCCTCGTGAGGTAATTAATTAATTAATCAATCAAGTCTTGTCATTTCATTAGAGTCGGCCCATCTTTATATCCGTAAATATCGTTCGTTTTAAACGTGAGTGATTAAAGGCTTTTGAAATATATATATACATATATATATACATATATATATATATATATTATTTTTTTCTAGGATCTTGAGCTTGGACTGACCCTTGTGAGGCCTGGATCATTGTTCACGAACGATCTATCGGAGAGGAAGAGATTCTCGGACAAAGGGTACGGATCTGTCCGTAGAGTGTTCGTCGTATGCAAAGAGGATAAGGCTATTCCCGAAGAACACCAGCGTTGGATGATTCAGAATTTCCCTGCGGACCATGTTGTCGACATGGAAGATACGGATCACATGCCTATGATGTGTAACCCTCTTCAACTCACCCATCATCTTCTCGACATCGCCAACAAATTCGCCTGAATATATATACGCACACACATATATATATATATTATTCGAATAATGGTGGTTGTAACATGTGAATGACAACTACGTCGACGAAGGTTGTCTATATATCGTGTTATTCAAGTTATTCTATAGTGTTTGTGACGGATAATGAACGACTAAGTGCCGTGTAGAATTGTGACATGCATGTTGTCGTATTGCAATGTATAGAATTAAATTAGTAGGCATGTTTAATTATCGTTATTAATTAGAAGAAGGGGCTAAAATGATTAAATGATGGTCGTACTGTTAGGTGGGAGTTTGACCGACGTGAGTTTATATATCATTCAGAAAGTCTTTCTTTTTGACAACGTGCGACGGTCCACCCTATTCATAATTGTTTTATTAGGAAAACCGAAATTAAGGAATTATAAAAGGTCGTAAAAATCAAAATTCACTTGTTTTTGGGTTAACATGAAAAGATTCGAAGTGATGATTTAATATACATTTTTTTTTGCACTGCTATTGTTAAACAAAATCTATTTTCAGAATTTTTATTCAAAATGATACCCCACAGCTAATTAAATCACACACACACACACATATATATATATATATATATATATACGCACTCCACCAATTAAATCGGTCCTGATTTCTATTGATTAAGATCACGCCGCACTAATTAAATTAATGGATAGACAAATAAAATAAATAAAAAGTCACGCCAAAGCATTTTCATTGCTACACAATATTTTATTTCTTACGGATGGTAGTAGATAATGTCACATCAGTACCATAGATTATAAAAATGGTTCACCCGAGATCTACTCAAGATTCGTTTTAAAATATTGTTTTATAATTCACAAAAATTATAACTTTAAAACGTGATAATCTCACCCAATTTCCGCATTTATAGTCGCTTTCATCTTATGGAAAAAGTCAAGGAAAGAAGCGTGGAGGGGGCAAAGTGATAGCTACATATACGGTCGATATAATACAGTTTGTTAATTTTATATAGGGAAAATTTCATACTCCCTATGAATTTTCATAAATATTTCAAATTACTACACCAATTTTTTATTTGATAAAAACTTACACCGAATTTTAAATATTTTTAAAATCCCACACAAAATATTAAACTGTATTACAATTTCTCTCATATCCGTACGTCGTTAAGTTCCGCCAATTTTATTATTAACTGTCATGCCACGTCATATTTTTCCGCCAAAACTTCAAATTCCATACGTCGTTAAGTTCCGCCAATTTTATTATTAACTGTCATGCCACGTCATATTTTTCCGCCAAAACTTCAAATTCCACCACATCATCATGCCACGTCAAAAAATAAGAAAATAAAAATAAAAAATAAAATATTAAAAAAAATAAAAATAAATAAAATTTTAAAAAATTAGAGAATTTAAAGTTTAAATTTTTTAAAATTTAAAGAATTTAAAAAATTTAAAATTTCAAATTTTAAAGAATTTAAAAAATTATAAAAAATACATATACATATATAATTATATACATATATATACATCTACATATATATATATATATATATATATTCACATGCATATATACATAGGGGTGGGTACGGATCGAATATCCGAGATTTTTGAGATATCTGTATCCGTATCCAATCCGTACAAATATTCGATTTTGTTATCCGTATCCGATCTGTAATTTTTAGATATCCGCAACTTTGGATATTCGTAAAAATTACAGATATTTGCTGATATCCGTATCCGACCTAAAACGTTATAAAATTTTAAATTTAAATTATAACAAACTCAAACGCAAATAAAAATATATAATCTATATTAAGATAAATGATATTCACAGTTTAAAATTCATAATTTAAACATTTCAAATCAAATCAAATACAAATACAATCATAATCTATCACATATAAATATATTTAAAATTAAAAATTTAAAACATTAAACATAAATAAATCTTAATATTAAAAAGATTAAACATTATAAACCTCAATATACTTAAAACTTTTTTTTAATCACTCTAAAAAACGTGTAAATATTAGGTATTTTAAATCTCTATACCAAATTATTCTTATATTTAATAATATGATTATAAAGTACGAATATGAACCGATATGTCCGATAATTCAATTTTAATATCTATATCCGACAAATATCTTCAAATAAATATCCGTATGCGATCCTTAAACTCCGGATATCCGAATTTTCGGTTCAGATACGAATCGAATAACGGATCAGTTCGAATTTTTCGGATATTTTGTCCGCCCCTATATATATACATATATATATACAAAAAAAAAAGTATGGAACCAAATTCGAACCGTACGGCGGCAGTGTATTCTTCATCCTAGGTTTCTTGAAGCACAAGTTACTACCAAATATACATTATTATGCGTATGGTTTATACTCGATCTTTTTTTCTATATTCGAGCTTGTCAAACATATGACTACGTATACGGTTCATCATTTGCAAAGAGAGCGTTTATTGGTAAAAAAAATGTAATACCAAAGGCAAAGGCCATGGAGACAGTGTGGATGACGTGGGATATGAAGTTAGATATGTGGATATGCAAAATCCACGTGACAAGAAAAAAGAATCGGCTTTACGAAATCCACGTTGATAATGATAGATGCAGAAACTGCCAATCTACAAAACATTATTACCCTCAAACCCAAACTCAGTTTCAAAAAAAAAAAATCCAGACACCCAAGAAGATGAAGAAGAAGATACAGATAGTGCTTGTCCATGGCGGTTGCCACGGCGCCTGGTGTTGGTACAAGGTGAAGCCTTCGCTGGAGGCGGCCGGCCACCGTGTAGCCGCCGTGGATCTAACTGCATCTGGCGTCAACATGAACAGAGTCGAAGAGATTCGGACATTGCAGGATTTTGCCCGACCGTTGCTGCAGCTACTGGAGTCGCTTGGTCCGGACGAAAGGGTCGTTCTTGTTGCTCACAGCATGGCAGGACCGAGTGTCGCTCTCGCCTCCGACATCTTCCCTCTCAAGATCTCCGTTTCTGTCTTCTTGACTTCTTTCATGCCCGACATTACACACCCACCTTCTTACGTCGTGGAGAAGGTAATTCCCTGTTTTTTTTTAAATCACCATTCCAGAGGATTTGATGATTGTCTCTCGATCTGCCTCGAGGGTTTTGATCTCTGATGGAAATTTTGCAGATACTGAACCCTGTTACTCAAGAAGAGTGGTTGGACAATAAGTTCATGACGTATGGAACATCCGATCATCCTCTAACTTCTCTTCTTCTCGGGCCCGTATACTTGGCCAAGAACATGTATCAACTCTCCCCGGTTGAAGTAAGAATCAGTGTCTTTCCCCCCAATCGAGCTGGGTGAATCTCTCTTTTCTTTCTGTGTTCATCTCTGTCTTTTTTTTTTTGTGTGTGTGTGGGTATAGGATCTTGAACTGGCGAAAACGTTGGTGAGGACAGCACCGTATGTTTCGAGCAATCTGACGGGGAAGAGGAGCTTGACCAAGGAAGGGTACGGCTCGGTGGCTCGAGTTTACATCATATGCGGAGAGGATAAGGCGATACCGGAGGAGGGTCAGCGTTGGATGATCGAAAACTTCCCTGTAGATGAAGTCATGGAGATCAGAGATGCAGACCATATGCCCATGTTTTCCACTCCTCGCCAAGTTTGTGAACTTCTCTCGAAGATTGCAGACAAATATGCATAAGCCTCTCTCTCTCTCGTAATCACTGTCACAAACTCGAACATGTTCTCTGCAGCAAACCAGATCGGTTCTCAGACGATTGTGTTGTTTAGAGTTGAATCTGGTTTGACCCATTTGAATAAATCGTGAGAATATTCACTTGTCGTTGGTTCCTCTTCTTTTAAGACACAGAGAATGGAGAATGTTCCAAGAGTCAAGTGTTCGTTAGTTGAGAAGGTGAGACCCTTAATGCTGGCAGTGTCTAAATCCACTCATCAAGGCTGAAATGAAATGAAATTTATCATAACATCGAATGAAATTGAAATCAAAGATTAAAATAAAATATATATATATAGCTTTCCCAAAATGAAAACAAATTTGAATCCAAAATTAATCAACTTAAATTTGAAATCTGCACCCTAACGAACCAAACTATCTCATAAGAGATAAGATGTTACAAGTGAGTGTAAAGGATAAGCATCTAAACTTAAAAACATTAATAATAAAAAAAAAAGATGATTAAGGAAATATTTTATATAAATCGAGGAGGAAATAGATAAAGTTAAAGCGCGATGTCGTTCAAAGACCTCTCCTTGAAGCTTTATACCCAATTCCAATATTCAATTCTATAAAATTGTTTTTTTTACTCCATAAATATCCAACAACATTTCAAATTTCAAATTTTTTGTTTGTCTTTTTTTTTTCTATGATAAAGTTTAAGTTTTTTAGATGCTTCAACTTTTTTTTTTAAAATTTATTGGTACCACTGATTCACTAATCTTAACTCTCGGACCATAGGATTTAAATTTATTTTACATCCTTTTTTGGGTTAAAGGTTCATTCCTTCTTTTAATTACAAATATAATATAACATTATTTTATCCCTCAAGGTGTCACAAAAAATGCAGAAATTCGAATATACCTTGTTAGACCTCAGTCTCTCTAAATGACAAAATTTAGATTTATATAATATATATATATGTATAGATTAAATAAAGAAATTAATATAGAAAAAAGAGGAAGCATCTAATTCTCGAGCTCGAAGACACCATTTTATTTCTTCAAAAACTCATTGTGTTCCATGAGCATATAAGTTATGGACACTAAAAAAAGGAAAATAATATTTTAATTCTTTATGTGTTGGAAATTTTAGTTTTTTAATAATGAAATCCTTTTAAAAGGTGACGCAATATATTAAGTTTTAAATAATGTGGAGTAAATCAGAGGGCAAGGGGCTATCCAATTCCCGACCTAATATTTATTAGGCATATCTTTCGTCTGTTTCACCCAACAAATCTGATAAATATTATATAACTTACACTTAGATGTATACAATCTTCATAAATCAACCAAAAAAATTATAATTATGCGATAAAAATAAAATAATTCTAATTTTATAATAAGCTGTTATACGAAGCAAACCGATGTACGACCAATGTATATATTATAACCATCATGTTGCTGAGAGAGAGAGAGAGAGAGAAAGTCAATGCCTTTTTTTTTTTTTAACTGTTTGAGATATATAGAGAGAGAAAGGGCAACGAGGAGAGAGAAAGTAAATGTAGAGAGAGAGTATGTATGTGTAATTATATTGAATGAGAGAGACATTGGTGGTGAAAGGTGTTAGCTATGGTCTTATTACTATCTTCAACGAGAGTTGCCTGAAGGGGTTTTTTTTTCCCCGAGAGATTCTCCAAAATTTAATCTTTTTGTGATCTTTGAGATATGGTTTCTGCTTGGAAGGGCTTCTGAATTTCTATGTAAAATTTTGGGATCTGTTTACTTTTTTTTTTGGCCCGTCCTCTCTCTCCTGGCGTTGGTCCTAGGGTTTGAGCCTTTTGACTCTCTTTCGTCTTTCTTGGATTCCTTCCCCTTGGGCTTTCTTTCTCGTACTTTTGCTGGTTGAAATTGTGCGTTTCACTTTTCTTCTTCTTCTTCTTCTTCCTCAGTGAAATTCTTCTGTTCACTTTTGGCTTATTTCCATATCTGCTCCTTGTTAATCCATTTGAAGCGATAATCTTTTCTGGGTTCTCAAAAAGCTTCTGTTTTGGGGCTCTTCTGATCTGCTTCAGGATCTTCTCTTCTCGTCGGGATTTCTAGGGTTTCCTGATGGCTCGGAAGATAAAACCCTTGTTGTCCCTCTTCTGAATCTCCGAAGGAAAAGCTTCCATTTTTCGGCGTTTCTGAATCATTTTTGTTTTGCTGAGAGATCAATGCATTTTTCTCTGTGGAAGCAAATTCACCATTGCGCTGCTCTGATCTTGGATAAGAGTAAGAGCAGGAGGAGGGATGAGTCCGATTCAACGGTTAACGTCAAGAAGAAGGCTTCCATTCTTCGGAAATTGTACGAAGATAAGCTGAGGGAAGCTCTCGAAGAAGCATCTGAAAATGGGTCGCTCTTCAAATCGCAGGACATGGACGAGGAGAATCAAGATGGGAGCTTGGGCCGATCCAGATCCCTAGCGAGGCTCCACGCCCAGCGCGAATTCCTTCGCGCCACCGCCTTAGCTGCAGTGCGCGTTTTCGAGTCGGATGACGCCATACCTGAGCTCAGGGAAGCTTTTGACAAGTTCCTCACTATGTACCCAAAGTACGAGACATCGGAGAGAATTGATCAGCTGAGGTCTGATGAGTATGTCCATTTATCAGCTTCTTCAAAGGTATGCCTTGATTATTGCGGTTTCGGCCTCTTTTCCTACCTTCAAACTCTGCATTATTGGGATTCTTGTACGTTTAGTCTCTCAGAGATTACTGCCAATTTGAGTAACCATGCCCTTTATGGCGGTGCTGAGCCGGGAACTGTGGAACATGACATCAAGACTAGGATTATGGATTACTTGAACATTCCCGAGAATGAGTATGGCCTTGTTTTCACTGTAAGCAGAGGTTCTGCTTTCAAATTGTTAGCAGAATCCTACCCGTTTCATACAAACAGGAGGCTGTTGACTATGTTTGATCATGAGAGTCAGTCTGTGAATTGGATGGTCCAAACTGCACGGGAGAAGGGTGCTAAGGCGTATAACGCTTGGTTCAAATGGCCAACCCTGAAGCTTTGTTCCACGGATTTGAAAAAACGGCTGTCTTATAAGAAGAGGAGGAAGAAGGATTCTGCAGTGGGGTTGTTTGTGTTTCCTGCCCAGTCTAGGGTTACTGGCGCAAAGTACTCTTACCAGTGGATGGCTCTTGCTCAGCAGAACAACTGGCATGTCTTGCTTGATGCCGGTTCATTAGGTCCAAAAGACATGGATTCTCTTGGGTTGTCCTTGTTCCGACCAGAGTTTATCATAACCTCATTCTACAGGGTTTTTGGCTATGACCCTACAGGATTTGGTTGCCTCTTGATTAAGAAGTCGGTAATGGGTAGCCTCCAGAGTCAGTCCGGGAAAACAGGGTCGGGAATAGTGAAGGTCACTCCTCAATATCCTCTATATCTCAGTGACTCGATAGATGGCTTGGATGGATTGGTTGGTTTGGAGGATCATGATGTTGGTACGGATGGAGATAAAGCCACGGAAATTCGCCCTGGTTCTCAGATGCCCGCTTTCTCTGGTGCATACACATCAGCTCAAATGAGGGATGTGTTTGAAACAGAGCTCCAAGAGGATAATATCTCTGACAGAGATGGAACAAGCACCATATTCGAAGAAACCGAAAGCATTTCAGTCGGCGAAGTGATGAAAAGCCCGGTTTTCAGTGAAGACGAGTCATCGGATAATTCATTTTGGATTGATTTGGGTCAAAGTCCACTCGGTTCTGACAATGCTGGCCAGCAAAAAATCGCCTCTCCACTGCCGCCATTTTGGCTCACCAGCAAAAAGAACCAGAAAAGACTCTCACCAAAACCGGTACAAAAGGTTTACAGCAGTCCCTTATATGATGGTAAAGATGTCCTCTCATTTGATGCCGCTGTTATGTCAGTAACTCAGGAGGCAGACAAATCTCCCTTCTCAAAGTCTACTCCCTCACGGAATCTGAGGAACGCTCATAATCTCCATGTTCAAGAGATACAGGAAGAAAACAATGGCAGCAGCAGCATTATGCTTAGAGCAGGATCTGAATTCAGATCATCATATGGGGCCCTGGGTAATAGCATGGCAAACGGCTCAACCTCTGAAATCTGCCCAGAGATTAAAGAGAGCGCCATTAGACGAGAAACGGAAGGAGAATTCAGGTTACTGGGAGGGAGGGAAGGCAGTAGATGTTCGGGTGGGAGGCTTTTGGGTTTCGAAGATGAACACCCGAGCAGGGGGAGAAGAGTTTCCTTCAACATGGAACGTGTCAGCCATAGTTTAGAGCCAGGGGGTGAACCATCGTTAGAAAGTCTCAATGACGAAGACTACACAAGCGATGCAGCTGATAACCCGGATGAAGACGAGTGGGATAGAAGGGAGCCCGAGATTGTTTGCCGTCATATTGATCATGTCAACATGCTTGGTCTTAATAAAACCACGACCAGACTTAGGTTTCTGATCAACTGGTTGGTGATCTCATTGTTACAGCTAAAGGTGCCTGAATCTGGAGGAGACGGCAGAAACATGAATCTTGTGCAAATCTATGGCCCGAAGATAAAATACGAACGAGGAGCAGCGGTTGCATTCAACGTGAGGGACAGACACAGAGGATTCATAAGTCCAGAGATGGTCCTGAAACTCGCGGAAAGGGAAGGTATTTCTCTTGGGATTGGGATATTGAGCCATATACGCGTAGTGGATGTCCCAAGAATCCATCGAGGAGGAGCAGCCATGGCAGAAGATGGTGGAGCTCTGCAACTGCAGGCAGAGGCCAGGCGACGCAGTGGCAAAAGTGGGTTCATAAGGTTTGAGGTCGTGACGGCTTCTCTTAGCTTCTTGACAAACTTTGAGGATGTCTACAAGTTGTGGGCTTTTGTCGCAAAGTTTCTCAATCCTGCCTTCGCCAGAGAAGGCTCTCTCCCTACAGTCGAGGAAGAAGCAGAAGCAGAAGCAGAGGAGTCGGAAACATGAGTTCTTGAAAAAAAAAGAATGGTCGAAACCTTTGAAAGCATAGACTACACGGCCATGGATGCATCAAGAGACCTGAACACAGTGCAGCCCCCATGGCCAAGGCCATCTCTGACCAAAAAAGGCTCTTGGAAATTGGAACTGTGAAACGAGAATTGTTTTTTTGATTGGATGTGTTTGGTGTTTCTTTGCAAGTTCTTCTGCTCATTTGTCTGTAATATCATCAGGGGAGAAACTCTTTGTAATCTGACAGCAGAATTTATTGGACAAATGTTTCCACTTCCTAGATTCTGTTTCACTTCTCTCTTACAGTTTCTGGCAATGAAAGTGATCCCTTTTTGTCTGTCCAAACAGATACATTCTTTGGTCGAATTTACGTGGCAAATTGTATATACATAGACAGTAGCTCCGGGTGACAGAACAACATATTCATTTCTACATTAAAAAGACAAATCAATGAGAGAAGGAACTAGCTTCGGTGCTGTACATTGAGTAATCGCTCAGACAAATGTTGTTTGTTCTCTCTTCACCCCACTTGAGAATCTCCTTTGCAAACTTGAGAGACATATCCACACTGTTCGGATCCAAGCCCTTGTTCATTGTCACATACAGCTTTTTCCCAGTCACCGACGCGTAAAACCTCTTGAACTTCACCGCTATGTAATGGAACGCCACCTGTCCCAGCGACGGGCTGCTGCTGCTGCTGCCGCCGTTGGCTCGGGGGCGGGCG